TTCACAGTTGATGCTAATACCCATGTTCTGTCCTTCAAGGGATGTGTTCATTCCTGGCTGCAAAGTATTGCACCTTCAAATACAAAATTTAGTCTTTACTTGTGAGTGTTTATATGTAGACAAATAAACTTGTAGATATGATATGTAGATAAATATGTAGATACATAAACTTGTTTATATTCAGTACAAGTTACATAGATTTTTTTGCTTCCATTAGTTGAAAAATATGAGAAAATAATTGTGAATTAAATCACAATTGCAATATTGAAGAAAATAAATCATATTTAGATTACTTTCCAGAATCGTTTAGCCCTAGTTGATAGCTGACAGGAGGTACATGGCAAAACTACTCCAGGCTTGTGTTATTTGTAGAGATTTGTGGAGAAAATATCAGTGTTACAGAGAAAACTGAGTCAGTGGTAGAGTTGCGTTGCTGTTAGCCAAGAGAAGTCCAAATATCAAGGAGTCTAAATCCTTGTTGTTGTTGTCTGAAGTTCAGCTGTGATGTGGCACAGGAGTTAGGTGCCCGTCCTGTAATCGGAAGGTTGCAGGTTCAAGTCCCGCTCAGTCTGTAGCTGTCGTTGTGTCCTTGTGCAAGACACCTAACCCACTTTACCTGCTAGTGGTGGTCCAAGAGACCAGTGACACCTGTGAATGGCAGACTCAACTCTGTCAGTGTGCCCCAGAGAAGTCCAAATATGGCTGCCCTAGAGAAGCTGTGGCTACCATGGAGCTTATCACCACCGTGGTGTGTATGTGTGTGTGAATGGCTGTGTTGTAAAGTACCTTGGGGGGGTTCTAGGACCCTAGAAGGCTAGATCCTTGAACAGGCGCAACTGGGCTTTTTTACCCAGGGTACAACTTACAAGGCATTCATCCTACTAGAGACCACTGCAAATGTATTGATTAAACAAGTAAACCACAACAAAATGGCACAAAATTTTCTTTAGCAGTGAAAACTTTTGTAATACTTATCTTTAAGTGACAATATGTAGTTTTTATCATTAGCCTCTGGAAATATCCATCGAAATGTTGTTGTAAATGAATTAAAAGATGCCAAGTTGTTGAAAAACATTGGTAGTTTCATAACATACAACCATAACAATCTGTTCTAAAAGACATGGGAGTGGGTCCAAGTCTCTGGGCGACGCCATTTTGGAAAGAAAGAAAGAAAACAATCTTTTATATAGTGCCTCTCAAGATAAATTTGGATGACATGTTTCCTTCTACGGAAGCCCGAGAGGACATTATGCATTTACTGATTTGTAACAAATGGTTACAAAACTTTCATGTTGCTTTACACATTTACCTCTTCACTCATTACCAGTGATGAAAGGGAGTCTGATGAGCTTGTTATTTTGCTGGAGGTTGCACTCCCAGGGATGTTTGACCCGAATGGCCATCCAATGTATAAAGTTTTATTTGAACAAAAATAAAATAATGCTTGCTTGCAATGATTTAGGTATGTACTGCCCCCTATCCCCAGGGAAAAGACACACCGTCACTTTAAAGCTACATTTGTCTTCGTGCAACTGACAATGGCTAAAATACCCTGAATCACTGTGTTTTAGAACAACCTGCAAACGCTTGCAAAATAACCAAAAAGCAAACTGACAGATTTAAACCGGATATACAGCAGATGCATACATGCCTACATAAAATTGGATCTCTCGTTGTACAAGCAGGATTGTCAGGTCCCACTGGCTCCGTTATCAAGCCTATGCTTGCACAGAAACAATTTTGAAGGATGTGATAAATTGAGTCTCAAGAGCTAGTCACAGAAATTGTGTTGTGATGTAAAATTACTCTCAGGCTTTGACTTGTGCCATCAAGTGTAGCATGTAAATTCTTCTAGGGTTTCCCTTAGTTATGGAAAAATACCCTGAAAATACCTCAAGTTTGTATGACGAAATGGGTTTACATTTACCTATAAAAACTTGGGAGGGTTGAGAGCTTCAGAAGGAAATGTGAACGAAAATAAAACCATCTGTGCCAAAAACTCACTGAAGCTCTCACTTCTCTGTTTTTTCTTTCTTGTTTTACAAGCGAGACAAACGGGAGACTGTATCACAAGACTGGGTATATGGTTCAGAGATCCAATTGTTCCAAATGGGAATTTTGTGATGGTACAAACGCCATTTCGAGGAAAAGGCTATTCAAAACACAGGAGGCAAATAAAAACCACTGTTATTCATAAAAGAGATTCTACAAGGACACAAAGAAACAACATGCAAAATACTAGCTCACCTGCAGGACGGGGTTTTCCAGAAGATGGATTTTGCTCACACACAATTCACACACAGGATATGCAAACAAACCTAAAATAACCAACCCTAAGGGTACAGACACACTCATTTGAGAGTCAAAACACTATTCGTTTTTTCTTCCCAAACATGATGATCCTCACCATCTCTATCTAGAAACATGAGTCGGATGTGTTGATGGGGACATTTCTATTGCATCTCAGAATGCTTTTCATCTCACAGTCTGGTCTTGGGGGGTTGGGGGATGCTTTTCTGGTGTATGTGAGACTGCCTCTTTTCTTTTCTTTTTCATTCTTTTCTTTTCTTTTGCAGGTCTTAAGCTTTAGGAGCAATGAGACACAAGACCTTCAAAACTGTCATGTTAATGAGGAAAGGACTGCACAAACCAGGGACTGATGGGATTAAAATAAACACAGTTTTGAAAGTAATACAGACACTTTGGTACGTCTGAAGCAACAGAAGCAGTTATGACTGCAGGTCATAGAGAAGAAAGAGGAGCTTTTGAAATGAAAAGGAGTACCGACAGCCATGGCTATCAATCCTGTTCTGGTGTCTTAGCAAAAAACTGGGGATCAACTAAAAAGAGCCAGAGCATCAAGAGAACAAACAGATAAACAAAAGCCGTGCGTCTGAACTGAAAAGAATAAAGAAGGAAAATAAAAAGATTTAAAGTGCGAGAATGTGAACTGGGAGAGTGGAACCCGCAGACGGTTAATGGAGCAGAGGCTCGATGAGCCGCAGGCACACAGCTGCCCACTGACAGAATGGAGTCCTAATAGGGCCTTTTGCTTGCAACACAAAGGCTTTGCAAATGTGTGCGTCTTAAGCACACACTGGCGCGCAGAGCGATCCCCTTTAAAAACCCACCAGCCTAAATTGTTCCCATAAATTACGCCTGCAGTGAGCCCAAAGCAAGTCCGGAGGCTACAAGAGCCAACGTACAAGTGCAGCACACACCAAGTTTCACCTCATTCAAGTGACTGAATCAAGTTTTCCCTTATAACCAAGCAATCTCTGAATTATGAAAATGTAATGCTTTTACAACAGTGCATTATTAAATGGTTTATTGTGTTAACTTTAGTCAATCTGATATTGGATATTTCAAGATTTGAATAAAACCTACTAATCTATTGCCTACTAGAGCTATCTACTGTCTCATTTTGTTAATTGAAAACCGACATTTTATTTTTATAAAATACTGCAATTTATTATTATGTGTATGAAGTGTTATGCAAGAACGTGCACAGGTACTATAGCCTCAGCACAGAGCAGGTTCACACGGCAGAACTTGGAAGACCCAAAGCACTTCTTCACACCAAGATGTGGCATTCCTCACACGGTTTATTTTCAAAATCTAAACAATCATCATCTTTTTTTGTTGTTGTTTGGAAAAATGGAAACAGATAAGAAATGCCCAGAACAGGTTTTCTCTTATGACTAACCAGTTTCTGTGAGGCTCCTCTATCAACATCTCTTGTGTAATCAGACACTGGAGCTGAAGTGATTACATCTTCTGCCCAACTCTCTGCTTGATGTCTAACTGGAACTAAGGGGCATTAGCTGAGCTAGATTCAAACAAAAGCCAGTCACATTTCCTGTTCTGCTGACCAAATGAGATGGTTTTCCTTGCAAGTTTAGGCTAACTGCTGCTTTATGAAGAACAAAGAAACATTTCTAGGTATTTTCAACAAGGGAACCATGCCAGTTTGCAGTGTTGTCAGATTTAAAGTGTCCACACAGAACAACCTGTAGCTTTTTAATACTTAGCAGGGTAAAACGCAAGCAGACACCTTCTTCCTAACCCATAAAAAAAGGAAGCAACACTTGCAAAAACGAGGTGAAAGTGTTGCTATCAAGGTGCCCTATATTCTGAGGGTAGAGACTTTTATTGTGAAATGAGGTGCAATAAATGAGCCTTATATGTGGGCGTCCTCGTGCGTGAACCCGTTTATTGTACTCATATTCTTCTCATCATTGTTTCAGTTTCATGTATAATGACTTATGGCCTCTGTCATTAGAGCAAATCATTTTAGAGTTTATTAAGACATTAAAAATCTAGAAAACCCCACATGTCTAACCTAAACATGTGTCCTCAGGTGAACTATGGGAGTAGAAAAAACAAACAAACAATAATTAGTAAAAGAGTTTCCTATCTGAAGAGACAACAGACTTTGTGTGGTAGATTGGTGAGAGATAAGCAACAAAGCTGTGTGACTCAAAAGCACTCAAGCCTCTCCCAATCTCTTCTCACAAGCTGTGGTGTCAATACATGCTGCAGAGCACACACGCACGCGCACAGTTCTGCTGCCTTGGTTTCATTAAACTCGCATGAAAATTAGTGCTGCCTCAACAATTTGAACCTATTCGGATGTCCTCAAGCTTACAGTTTTATTAAAAGAAACTCTGAACTGGGGTCAAAAAGAGTGTACCACACAGCAAAAACATGCACTTTTACATTATTAGTCCGAGTTTAAACCCGGAAGAGTCACGTGAATATAAAAAAATTGAACACATGCTGGTGTCTGAACTTGCCTCACACCCAAATAAAAATAAAATCAAAACATGTCTGAAGAGAAATCCAGCATAAACAATAATGTCAACAACAGTGTGAGCTGGATGCAGGGTTAACCTCTCGCGACTCTAATCAAATACAGCCTTGTCAGCGAGGACTTTACTTTGTTAACGGAGCGTATCCAAGTCGTGTTCAACAAATATATAAAGGTAAAAAGAACTCACAAAGGCTTTCCTGCAGTTGCCAGATCTCGGACCTCATCGCAGGACTGAGCAGAACTGCGAGCAGCCGAAGCCTTCAAGCTTGATAGTAACAAAATCCGAGTTCACACGAACCGGGTCGAGAGGAAGAGGAGGGGGGAAGGAGAGGAAAACCGAGCGAGCTGCACCGTTATATTAAAACAGCAAGCTCATAGAGGAAGATGAGTCACTTTCTAAACATTTATTTTAAATAATACAACTGTAAACTTCTTAAAATATAAGCCCACGCGCGTTGTAAACTTCAACATGTATTTGGCTTCACCCCTTTCGCGTTGGTATATTCCACTTTGGCCCCTCCTGCTACAGGCATGTGCTACTTTACTACGCAGCTCAGACTCGACAAAATAAACGCAGAAACTTTCTTTTCATGTGTTTTTCGGTTTGTCTCATAGATTAAAAAAAACTATAATCATTTATCCGATTGGATTTAATTGCATTAGAGATATAAAATCTGTTTATTTCTCAGAAGGCTTTTAATTGTGAACCCATCATCGACCTCCACCTCCTGCCACGGAAAAGTTCACGGCTACGCGCCAGAGCGATTCGATTCAATCCACAAAAATCCATATTAGAGCTTCAAACGCATTTCCAGGGAGACGAAGTGGAAAAATATAAATATTTGCAGTATCACAGTAGAGGGGTTGAAATGAAAGCACAGCATCCGCGTGCAGGGCAGAGCAGCAGTGGGCTGTGGTGGCATCAGTCTGTAGGTTGAAATCATGAGTGGAATAAATGTGTAGCTTCAAACATTTGTCGACCCCAAAAGCCATGAAAGTGCTGACTGTGGTAAATGCACATGGTTCAGTCCAGCAAAGTAAACCATGTGTAACAGTGAATCTGAATGAACACTTATAAAGCACACAAACCCAGGTTTAATCCTTTTCACCTCCATGTAGTGAATGTTGCACAAATGTTATAAATTCCACTTTGAAATGTGCACTTTGCAAATCTTATAGAAGTATGTTGTTTTTAAATCCTAATTTATCCTATTTTTTTGTCTTTAAACAAAGCTCAGCAATAAGCAAACCATTCCTTTGCATTATGACCCACAGGACATATGTGCTGAGAACTTATGACAGCCGTTTTTAAGACGGTAAGCCAGCATGCTGACAGAGCACAAGAACAGAGTTGATTTAACTGGGCTGCCTACTGGAGTACATTTCACCTCATGGGAAAATCATAGAGCTGTCAATCTGGGCAAAACAGGTATATCCAGACAGGATATCCTGACTCTTGTAAATTTCCAGGCAGTAATTCTTGTAAATCTTGAATGTGTTTACTCAACAGTGCACCTTCATACAGTGGTCTCATGGGCCAGTGGAACTTGTGATTAGTCTGGCAGATATTAATGGTGCCACTGAGAAAGAGAAAGGCAAACGTTTCCCTCACAGAGGTCATGGCCATGTTCATTGTCAGAAGTCCTTAGTCATCATTCCACAGAGCCCAATCCAGCCAACTAAATTAGGGTTATTTTTTAATAGTAGAAAAGATTAGTTTATGACTTAATACTTAACTCACAGTATCATGCTTTATTAAATACATTCAAATACAAGGTGGAAGCTTGCACGACCACTCTGCACAGAAAAAAACAAAAGCACATTTATTTTAGGAAAAGAAATGTCTGTTTCAGCAGTATTGAAAAATAAGCACTAAATAGTAAAGCCTAGGAATCTCTAAAGAAAAAAAGTTGAATAATTAGACAGAAAAAAAATCCACTTCAATTGGTCCTTCAATGTATTTTTTTGAAGATGAGAGCTGCCACGCTGTTGCCAGTCTTTCCTCCGAACTTGAAACTTGGTGTAGGCAACTCCTGAACAAACTCAAAACCTGAAAAGCAGCACAAAAACTGGCAAGTTAAAAAACTATGGAAACAAGCCGTGCGTCTAAACAAAAGCCAAGAATCTGCTCTTGTGGAGTATAACTAAGTGGTGGAATAAAAAGGAGGTTTAGCTGCAAATAATGAGTCAACTATCCATCTACCATCTGTGTTGCTTCCCGGGGCCCAGTGAAGACAAGCTGTCAGTGTGAAAGATGAGCACTTTGGCCCCCTGCAGGCTCTCCAGAGTGACTGCAGACTTGAGTGACAGCTAGCATAAACATGCCGAAATACTGATTTCACTGGCTGTTGTTCCCTGTAGCTTAACAGCCTGTCAAATTATGACTGTGGTTGAACATTTGTCTGTTTTGACTGAGACAACAACACACTAGGCTACAAAAGCAAAGACATCTCTAAGTTACAGTGATGCACAACAAGAGGATCAGCAGATTTTCCCAATCACCTTTTTAACCACACAGTTTTGACTAATAAATGATTTCCTCTTACCTTCGCCAAATCTTTCTAGCAGCTGCTCCTTCGTCCAGTTACATGATGTGATGGAAAAAAAGCCACCGTCTTTAAGAGCGTCTTTTAGACACTGGACATACATCTTTTTGCCGTCCTCAGTGTTGTCTGGGTTTAGACTAATTGCATCAAAAGTTCCTTTATCGATGCAGACATCAAAACCCTTAAGCTGCCCTTCACAGTTTAGGAAATCCATCTCCTAAAATAAAAAGTCATGGCAAATTAATTCAGAATCCCTCGATCATGATCATATGTTTTATTCTGTGACAGACAGGTCTATCTTGAAGGTGCATGAGGTAAGAATGACATCCTGTGGTCAGGTTTAGGCACTGCAGTCCATGTATCAAAACAAACAACTCCATTCTTAACAACTGTTGCCAATTACGGATCAGTGCCAGAAGATTCTAGATGACGAGAAGACGGGTCATGAACAGTAAGTTCATAAGTGGATAAAAACCTTTTACTGTAACATCGAGTTGTTGGTAATTGAAAAACGTACCTTGAGTTATTTTTAGAGCTGGCTATTACTTTTCTAATTCACTGTTAGCATTATTAGCTCAAAGTTAGCTTATAGCCTTCTTTACCCAATATCAGAGTAAAACAAAAAGGATGCCATGGATTCTCAGCCTGGAAATATACTTGCTGTTTGCCAATATGCATGTTTAAAATAGCAGCCTCGTGTAATTTGTGTTGATTTGAAGCGTTGTTTGTGCATGTCCCCCGAAACGAATCACGATGTGTTTGAACGCTGCAATATAGTAACCAGTAGTAATTGACAAAGCGAGGGAGACACACGATAAAGCTGCTCTCTTTTTCTGCAACGATCTCAAAATTAACCAGTAACTGATCTCTTCTATCGACACCATTTTTTTTGTTGTACTCCACAAACCAGGCTCTCTATCTAGAACTCTACTGTGCCATCTAGCGGAGTCCTCCAGTACTACATGCAGTACATTCCCGTACAGCAGCAAGTAAGTGAAGACGCTGCCTGTGTCAGCACAAATACAAACAGCAAATATATTTTCAGCCTTAGGGGTACAAGAAATAACTTCTAGGTCCTTCCTTTTACTGGCTTCCATTTTTTCCACAACCTTGGTGCTTTTGCCTGCTACTGTTGAATTACAAATTACAAAATGCCAGCACAGACTTGGCAACTCTGCAGTCTCAATTATGAATGGCTCTGGAACCAGAAAGAATAGAGATGGGACAGATAATAAACAAAGACTACATCCCTCTTTGGCCTTTTTAAAAGGAGAAAAACTGACACACACACACCCCCCCCCCCCCCCCCCCCCCGGCTGAGAAGGAAATCTGTTTCAACGCAACCTTCCTTCTAACATGATTGTTAAATTAGACTGTTTTGTGTAACATTCTTACTTCCTGTACCTTTAATTTTAAAAGCATCTGCTGATATGACAGTACCTAACTGAGCAGAGGTTTCTGACCTGCCTGCTATCCAGTGAAAGGAACCCTTTATTTGATGGTGGGCAGAACACCAGACCTCCGGTGTGAACTCACCGGCCACATACTCATAAACCATGTGTCACTAAACGAGATTTATGGAGGAGGAACCCACAGCGGTTCACTCGAGGCAGAAATGTATTCATGTCTTTGTTATTGACTCGAGTTTGCAAAATAGTGTGAGGATGCGGATGTAGACCGTGACTAATGAAAATGGAGAGGAGTGGGGGTAGGCATAGACTTCAAACAATGAATGAAAACACTTAAAATAATTTTGGTAATTTCCATCTTGTATAAAAGGCTAATGTGCCAACATTCCTCTCTCCCACGCTCCCCATGGCAAAGGTCAATATTGACTTTAACGGCAGTCCTCCTGCTCAAGCAAAGCACACACCTTTATGGGTGTGTGATGTATATAATGTATAAACTAAAGATTACACGCGCAAGAGGAAAACTTGTTCGTTGTACTTAAAAAGACCACCTAGCCTGTTTTTCTTACACACCAGTCAAGGCCTTTTCTTCCCATCCAACTCCTCCACATGGCAAATGGAAAAGGTTTCATTATGCTTTAGCAGGCCCAGCCTCTCCATGCTGAAGGCTACACTACTAGTGGCATTACAGATTGTAGAGAATCATGGATAGATGTAGAAAATGTAAGAGTTCACTATGCAGTTGTGCAAGATCGTATCTTCAAACCTCTGAAATTCCAATGTGGATGTTTGTTTTTTATATCAAAAGGAAGTATGTGAACTGGAATGACCAAGGCAGAACCTTTCTTCTGGTGTTACTCTTCTATTATTTTTTCCAACCACGGCTCATTTTAAACTATGTTTTTTATCATTTATTTTACACATGCTAATATAAATTGTATGACTCCATTTAACCTTACAAGAGATTCAGGGTGTTTAAGGGGGGGAAACAGCCTCACAGAAGGGATGGCATACTCTTCACTGTGCCAGTCTTTCTATTGAAGTCCCCACAGATGTTGCTGCCAAAAAGCACTAATCTGATCTCACAGCCAACATGTAGAAAGCTCCACCAAAACGTTTAGATCACAGGACCTTTTAACTGTTATTTTTCATGTTGAGATATTAAGGATGCCACTGGTTTGGGCGATTCTTATTAGATGTCAGCATTATTCCCTTCTTTTGATAACTGTGAAAATCTTATACTTTTTGTGGAGGACACTCAAGATATATTTTATGAGAAAATCTAACCAATTATCAGCATTTTTTAATTAAAAAAAAATAAAGAATGGGTTTAAGATATCCACAGCATCTAATAATGTTATATCTCACTTTCAAAAATGTGATTTTATTTTTGTGAATATTTATGTGGAATCAGCTTCCTCATGACCTCAAATATACTCCAACTCTAGTCATTTTTAAATCAAAATGGAAAACTTCCATGTATTCATCAGCCTTTGGATGAATGCCTCTTATGCTGCACCTTCTTCACTGTAACTGCTGTTTTTAATGGTGCATTTTCTCTTATTTATCTAAATGTATTTCTGTATTTTAAATTTGTTTTGAAAATCTGCTGTTGTATGTTGTCACACTGATTTGAATGTTTTTGCTGTTCCTCGAAAGCACATTGAATTACCTGCGTATAAAATGTGCTACACAGATTAAGCTGCCTCGCCTTACGCCCAGAACACACCGGACGCAAAAGCGGAGCGATTCTAATCGGCGCCCTTGTTAACCTACTCTCTCGGTCACATCAGCCGCGAAGCGCCAAGAAGGCTTGCGCCGTGCAACGATCGTTTCGGCGTGAGCTCAAACTTTTCCGTGAGTCGCGTCAATTCTGGCAGGAAGTCAAACCAAAAGAGAAGAGGCGGGCTGGTAAATTGAACAAAATAAAGAAAATGTTCTAAACAAAACACCGCAATTGATAAATGTGATCATTTCTGTGTATCCAAACAGACTAGAGAGATGAAAATGAACAAACAAGACACACAACTGTGAAGATACATAGATCATAGAGCACGACTGTCCCACAATGGTCCTTGGAGACATGAATATTCACCTGGACAATCCCAGCTCATCAGGCTTCCTGTCACTAATGTCATCATTTGATCTAAAACTAGTACAAAGTCCTCCAACTCACAAAGCTGGAAAAGCACTTGACCTCATTTTCACCAGAAACTGTGCCATAGACACAATCTCTGTCACACCGCTGCATCTTTCGGGTCATAACTTCATCCATTTCAGCACGACTCTACAAGGGAGGTCCACTGCTTCCTCCCCAGTAGTCTCATTCCGCTGCAACCTCCGCAATCTGGCACCCAGCCATTTCTCCTCTCTTGTTGCCTCCACTCTTCCATCTCCCAGCACATTCTCTGCTTATGAAGTGAATGAAGCCAACGAGTCACTCTGCTCCACACTCTGCTCTTGTCTTAATAACGTGTGCCCTTTAGCCACTAGACCTGCTAGATCCTCTCAGTCGCACCCTTGGCTAAATGATACCCTCCGGTCTCTACGCACCAATCTTAGAGCTGCGGAACGGAAATTGTGCCAAACAAAAGATCCTGGTGATCTATTGAAATTTCAGGAATTACTGCCCTCATTCTCTGCCAGCATCACTGATGCAAAGAAAGCTTTCTACACTGACAAAATTCTCAGCTCTACTGACCCTCAGAAACAATTTTCAACATTCAAAACTCTGCTCACCCCACCATCTCCACCTCTTACCAACAATCTATCAGCTGACACCTTTGCCTCATTCTTCACTGACAAAGTGGCAGCTTTAAGCAAACAGTTTACTCAACTGGCCACTCCTGAACATTCGCTACCACAAACTCCTTCAAGCCCAACCATCTCAGGCCCTACTGCTTCATTTTCCTCTTTTTCCCCCCTCACTGAGAACTGTGTGTCCAAGCTTCTCATGTGCAGCTGCCCTACTACATGCCCACTGGACCCCATTCCGACTAAGCTGCTCCAAGCTATTGCTCCTACAGTAGCCGCAGCAGTCACACATGTGATCAACGCATCACTGGCATCCGGTACATTTCCCACCTCTCTCAAGCATGCTCAGGTTAAACCGCTGCTAAAAAAAAAACATCTCTTCCTCCAAATCATGTGGAGAACTACCGTCCTATCTCTCTCCTCCCTTTTCTGTCCAAAATCATTGAAAGGGTGGCTTTCAAGCAGATTACAGAATACCTCTCACAAAACTGTCTGCTTGACCCTTACCAATCTGGGTTCAAAAAGGGCCACTCCACTGAAACTGCTCTGTTAGCAGTGACTGAATCCTTAAAAGAAGCTAGAGTGACAGGCAAATCCTCAGTGCTTATCCTGCTCGACTTATCAGCTGCATTTGACACTGTCAACCATGGCTTCCTTGTGTCCACACTCTCTAGCATGGGCATCACAGAGAAAGCACACGCCTGGTTTGAATCATACCTCACAGGACAATCATTCAGTGTATCTTGGCTTGGACAATCCTCTACCATAGACCATCTTGCCACAGGAGTCCCCCAGGGCTCTGTACTAGGACCTCTTCTCTTTGCCATACACACCACCTCACTGGGTGAGATCATTCGATCACATGGCTTCTCCTACCACTGCTATGCAGACGACACCCAGCTCTATTTGTCATTTCCACTGGACGACCACACTGTCTCTGCACAAATATCAAACTGTCTCTCTGACATGTCAAAATGGATGAAATCCCACCATCTCCAACTCAACCTCTCTAAAACTGAACTACTTGTCATCCGAGAAAAACCATCCATACAGCACAATATCTCAATCCAAAATGACTTCCCATCTCTGGCTCCTTCAAAGGCAGTTCGAAATCTGGGTGTTGTGATTGATGAACACCTGACCTTTAAAGATCATGTTGCCTCTGTTGCCCGTTCATGCCGCTTTGCGCTGTATAACATACGAAAGATCAGACCATACCTAACACAACATGCCACCCAGCTCCTGGTGCAATCTACTGTTGTCTCCCGGCTCAATTACTGCAATGCCCTTCTAACTGGTCTTCCAGGCAGTACTGTGAGACCTCTTCAAATGGTCCAGAATGCAGCAGCGCGTCTGGTCTTCAATCAGCCAAAAAGAGCACAAGTCACCCCTCTGTTCATTGAGCTCCACTGGCTACCGCTAGCAGCACGCATCAAATTTAAATTGCTAACACTAGCATACAAAGTCTGAGATGGTACGGCTCCCATCTACCTGAATCCTCTTGCAAAGGGTTACGTCTCGGCCCGGCCGCTCCGGTCATCACAGGATCGTCGGCTAGCAGTGCCTACACCACGCTCAGGACAATCCAGACTTTTCTCATGCATCGTTCCACAAATGTGGAATGACCTACCAAGCACTACCAGAACTGCGGCTTCCTTTTCAATTTTCAAGAAACTCCTGAAGACCCTGCTCTTCAGAGAGCATCTTCTTAACTAGCACCTTGCCTGCACCCATCCCCCCTCTCTACTGTCCACTCCTTGTTCAATACTCTCCATGACTGATGTCAATGTTGTTGTTGTTATTGTTGTTGTTAGCCTCAAGGGCAACATGCCGATTATCACTTGTAAGTCGCTTTGGACAAAAGCCTCTGCTAAATACATAAGCATAAACATCATTTTAAATGCAGTTTTTACAGCAAAAGATGGGAATGTGAATCCAAAAATTACGTTTAATTTAAAGGTAACTACCGTATTTTCCGGACTGTAAGTCGCACTTTTTTTCATAGTCTGGCTGGTCCTTCGACTTATACTCCGGAGCGACTTATATACCAAATTATGTATAACGTGCTGCCAGGAATAAGCTCCTCTGCCCCGCCATCACCTGCTGGAGCCTGTGGCAAGCTGCTGCAGGCCGGACGGCTCCGACCCAGGAATGACCTCCCCTGTCACGCTAGGAGGGTTTCAAACACCGCCATCACCTGATGCAGCCTATGGAGGGGTGCTGCGGGCCGGCTCCGGCCCAGGAATGAGCTCTCCCCGCCCGCTGGGAGGGTTTGAAACACCACCATCCTCTGCTGGAGACCGTGGTGCACTGCTGCACCCTGTTTGTTTATTCTGTTATTGTTACCGGTACTTGTCTTGCAATGTGAAATGCTTGGTCTCAGATTTTGTAAGAAAAATAATAAAATTTCCCTCCAAAATGCGACTTATAGTCCAGTACGTCTTACATGTTTCTTTCTTCTTCATTATACATTTTATGGCTGGTGCAACTTACACTCCGAAGTGACTTATAGTTCGGAGCAACTTATAGTCCGGAAAATACGGTATACAATAATATTGTACAGTACCACAAACACTAGGTTTACTCACCCATTTAGAAAGGAACTGGTCTAAAAACAGCAGCAGGATCAGCTCAAACTAGTTACACACTAGAGGTTGTATCAACTAGTCAACTTCACTGCTCAGTAGTGACTTTTTATGCCTTTCATAGACTAGTCGCTGTCACGTGATAATGACCGACAAGATGCAGTCCTCAGAAAAGACAGCAAGTGGCGAGCCCCTGCGCGTTGGGAGGCGACGCACCGTGCCAGAGCGCGGGTATCTGACGCCCGCCGTAAAACGGACATTTGACCGAATTGTGACCTTTACCCCCTTGCAATTTAACTTTCCCCTCACCCCCATCCTAACCTTAACCAGCTTGCGCATGCAAAGCTCTGATCGCTGACGCAGTTTTTCTTTAGCATTGAGAGGAGATGCAGGAAGATAATAAACAGACAGGACAGAAAAATAGTTAAATAAAAACAAGTTAGTTTTTGTACCTGGTGGTTGCAACAAACAGACACCACTGAAGGTAATCAGAAGTGTGGAACAGAGACTTAAATAATTATTTTAATGTTTAGAGCAGCAGCAACTCTGAGAGGCTGCAGGCACACCAGTTTGCGGCCGCTGCGCAGGGAGAAGGGGGAGAGGGCTGAAGCAGGGAACAGTAAAACAACGCTTGGTCACCCATCGTCAGTTTTAGCCACTTCAGGTGTATGAGTCATCGACGACTAGTCGAAGTGAACTTGATTTTCATTACTTAACACATGCAGCCCCTATTACACAAACACACACACACACACACACACACACACACAGAAAGGGCATGGGGTGGGGTTGGAAAACAGTAAGCTTGAGCAGAAGCGCTCATCGGAAATTCTTGCCTGATGTGAACAGAGGAGCAACTGGTAGCACGCAAATTTCGGGAGTGATCCGCTTCGCAGCTGGTGTGTTCCGGGCGTTATGGTCTTGAATACTTTTCACTGAAAGCATCCGAGTGTTTCTTCCTAACCCAGTGAGTGGGAGATCTGCAGTTTAAAAGAAAGTCAACCAGGAACCCACCTTAACACTGACATCAGTCAAACCTTCTGCCTCCAGAACATTTCTGGCCAGTTCTACTGATGCAGGAGAATAATCCATACCAGTGAGGTTCTTGTATCCATGTTTGGCCTGTATGTGAAAAAATAGAAAAAGTCTAAGAGTGAATGAGAGAAAACAATTGAACAGATGAATGTCAAGTGCATGACTAGCAAGTGTTTGAGTAAAATATGCTGTTTAATAAAGTTTTTCTCCTTTTTGTTTAAATGTAACCTTTAATGAGCCTTCTAAAGTTGTCATTTATTTTTCTAAACTTTATTCACACCAGCTCAACTAAGAAGGCCCCGTTTCCTGTGCCGATGTCCAGAATAGCAGCATTTTCATTGATTTTAGCTTCGTCCATCCATTGTAGCACACGGCTCATACTTTCCTCACCAAACCTAAAATAGAGAGACAAAAACACACAGATTCACAGCTTATCAAGGCCAGAAGAGGGTTAAAGGAGGGTTGTGATTAACTTCAGGTTGTGTTTTCCCATCAGAGATAAACTAACTCCTACCAGATCTCCCCAACATCTCCGATGTCTTTAAAAGTCTCCAGCTCTTTCTGATATGTTTCCTCCCAGCTGCAAAAAAGGAGAAACGTTGACAGATGATGTTTTAAATCCTGTAGCATTAGGCACTAACACACACACACCCATGCACGCATGTGTTCGCACGTTTGGATTGATACACTTGTGGGGACTTGTCCTTGACATCCATTCATTTTAGTGGCTGAAATATGCCTAACCCTAACTAATATGGGTCTATTCCTAGACTTACCATTCCTATGAAAATAAGTGTTTTTTTTTGGGGGGGGGGGGGGGTCCCATTGCATCAACCACTTCCATTGCAGGTTAAACCTGAAAATATGTCTCAAAGATGTAGAACAGACAAAACACACACACACATGTTGGTATATCTATACTTGTGAGACCCCGTTATTGATTTTCACTCATTTTAGTGACTCCACTACGCCTAACCTAAACCTATACCCTAACCAATGCAGTTCTATTCTTAACCCTAACCTTAACTAAACGTTAATTCACAACATACCTCTATAATCAATTATCAGGGATTTTTTACACTATGACAACCTGGCAAATGTCCTCATAATTTCAAAATGTCCCCATGTAAGTGGTGAAAAGTTAAAAATGTGTCCACACACACACACACACACACACATATTTATATATCGATGATACACACACACACACACACATATATATATATATATATATATATATATATATATATATATATATATATATATATATATATATATATATATGTATGTGTGTGTGTGTGTGTGTGTGTGTGTGTGTGTGTGTGTGTGTGTGTGTGTGTGTGTGTGTGTGTATGTACGCGCCGCGCGCGCACACACATACAGTAGCACCCTCTTCAGCAGGATCATAACCGAAGAGCTAGCTTGTCTGTTTAATATTAGCCGTGGAAACAAATGTTTCACAGTCGTTTCGCCTTTAGTACAACGTGTCTTATTGTCAAAGAAAGACATTTAGTCAGTGGTCCAAATTGTAGCAAGCAGCGACCGTTGCTCCAACTTAAACAGACGCTTCAAAGTGCATTACGCAATGACGCCGACGAGGAAATTCTCTATAAAAACGTAGCAACACTCACTACTCTTTGGTTCCAAGTTCTGAGGTTCCAAAATCATTTTCTGAGCATCTGTCTTCTTCTAAATCCGAGTTATTTTCACAACCATGTGAGTTTTCACCAGCGCCTGCCATGATGAGTTAGATGACGTCATGGAAATGGGCAAGCCAGGTGGTCATATAATAGACAGCAGATACAAGAAAATTCGAACAAGGCTAATGGATTACATTTTCACAGAAGGGACTGCTATAATTTATTTTCGCGTTCAAAATTAAGATTACACTACCTATTTATGAAACTTCAGTTCATTTAAATAAATAAACACGATAGTTATAAAGTGATACCAAGGCAGATTTCATTTTTCGTCTGCAAGATGGATGCTGTATTCACTCATCACCATGCAAAAAACAGCAATAATAATAAATTATGAGAAAATCAAAACAATTTATTTTCATTCATGGGAACTTCACATTTACTTTCATTGCAGACGAGTTAGTTTACACTATGTCCTTTCGAAAAGTAATAGAATACAGGTAGCCAAACTTCACTGAGATTTACATGATTTGCTAATATCACGTTCCGGGTTAAATGTTGTCAGAATTTCTGCTGAATTACCCCAACATGAAGACCTACACACTCTTTATGTCAGGTTCGTTGGCAGATCTGAAGCGTGACTGAGAGTTCTGTTGCCCAGACGCGGAGAGATGGAGATAGCCGGCGTGGTTATCTCCTGTAGGTGTAGTTTGAGTGTTTTGAGGGCTGGTAAGCCTGGAGACTCGATACAAAGTCTGGTGAGAAACGATGACTGAGCAATGAATGAAACGCCGGCACTTCCTTAAGTAGTGCCGGCGTGATGACGTCAGTCGCCACGTTGGTGGCAGGAATGAATGGAATGCAGTCAGCTGGAGGAGTTCGTGACAGGACCCCCCCCCTCGAGGGACGGCTCCCGAAGTCCCAGGACGGCGGGCCCAGAAGTCAGTCAGCAGGGTAGGGTCGACAAACGAGCTCGTGGGCTCCCAAGAGCGTTCCTCAGGCCCGTACCCCTCCCAATCCACGAGGTACTGCCAACCTCGTCCCCGGCGGCGAGCGTCCAGAATCCTGCGGACCGTGTAGGTGCGATCCGCCTCAACACCGCGGGGCGGAGGCACCCGGACCGGTGGAGGGTGGAGAGGAGAGGAGATCACCGGCTTAAGCTGGGAGACGTGAAAGACCGGGTGGATCCGGAGAGTAGCCGGGAGGCGCAGACGGCAGGTGACAGGATTGATGACCTTAAGGACGGGGAACGGACCCAGGAAGCGAGGAGTGAGCTTCCGGGAGCCAGCCGGCATCCTCAGGTTAGCGGAGGAGAGCCACACCTGGTCGCCAGACCGGAAGACGGGGCCAGGCCGGTGGCGGCGGCGATGCTGACGGGCATACTCCGTGTTGGCCCGGGTGATGGCCGCACGGGCCCGGATCCAGGCGAGCCGACAGCGGCGGACCAGCGTCTGGGCAGCAGGGACCTCCACCTCGGGCACCTGATGATCAAACAGAGGAGGCTGATAACCGTAACAGGTCTCGAAGGGAGACAGACTCGTGGCTGAGGAGGTCTGGAGGTTGTGTGACAGCTCCGCCCACAGGAGAAAGCGGGGCCAGGTGGTCGGCTGGGACGAAGCGAAGCAGCGCAGGTAGCGTCCAAGCTGCTGGTTAGCTCTCTCTGTTTGACCGTTTGTCTGCGGATGGTATCCAGAGGACAGACTGGTGGAAGCACCGACCAGGCGACAGAACGCTTTCCAGAAGCGTGAGACGAACTGGGGTCCTCGGTCGGAAACCACGTCCTGAGGGAAACCATGGAGCCGCACCACCTGTTCCAGGAGCAGTTCGGCCGTCCTCTTGGCCGTGGGGAGGCCGGCCAGGGCCACTAAGTGCACGGCCTTGGAGAAACGGTCCGTGATAGTCAATATAGTGTCCAGGTGGTCGACCGCCGGCAGTCCCGTGACAAAGTCCAGCCCGATGTGTGACCACGGCCGCTTGGGCACAGGGAGAGGCTGCAACTCTCCAGCGCCGGGTCGGTTGGAGGACTTGGATCGAGCACACACATCACATGCAGCTGTGAACTCGCGGACGTCCCTCCTCATGGACGGCCACCAGAGAGCCCGACGGAGGAACTGGAGGGTACGGGCTTGCCCTTGATGTCCCGCGAGCCGTGAACAATGCCCCCACGTGAGCGCCTCTTGCCGGCAGGAGGCGGGAACGTAGAGGCGGTTCGGTGGGGTCTCCGGCGGCGCTGGATCGCCAGGAAGTGCTGCCTGTATGGACTGCTCCAACGGCCATTGGAGGGAGGCCAGGAAGCGTTGAGCCGGTAGAATGGTCCGAGGCTCCGGGGGGCCGGCATCTGGTGCGAAACGCCGAGAGAGAGCGTCCGCCTTGAGGTTCTTGGAGCCGGGCCGGTAGGCGATATGGAAGTGGTACGGCTCGAAAAAGAGGGCCCACCGAGCCTGACGAGGGTTGAGCTGGCGGGCAGTCTGTAGATGAATGAGATTCTGGTGGTCGGTCCAGATCAGAAAGGGATCGGTGGTCCCCAGGAGCCACTGCCTCCATTCCTCCAGCGCCCACTTTATTGCCAGCAGCTCTCTGTCGCCGACCCCGTAGTTCTGCTGTGTGGGGGAAAACTTCCGGGAGAAGTAGGCACATGGGTGGAGCTTAGAGTCTGGACCCCGTTGCGAGAGAACGGCCCCCGCTCCCACATCCGAGGCGTCCACCTCCACGACGAAGGGCCGGGTCTGGTCCGGGTGGAGGAGGATGGGTTCCTTAGTGAAACGTCCGACCAGCTCATGGAAAGCACGGACAGCCTCTGGAGTAAGGCGAAAAGGGCGAGGCTGATTGGTGGTTTTGGTGAGTGAGGTCAGAGGTGCTGCGAGGGAACTGAAGTGGCGTATAAACCTCCGGTAAAAGTTCGAGAAACCCAGGAAGCTTTGCAGCTGCTTCAGGGTCGTGGGTAGAGGCCACTGAGCTACGGCCTGAACCTTCTGGGGGTCCATCTTCAGGCCCTGGGAGGAGATGGTAAAACCCAGGAAGGAGGTGGACTCCTGGTGAAACGCACACTTCTCCAGTTTGCAGTACAGTCCATGATCCAGGAGGCGGGACAGAACAGCTCAAACATGCCGGATGTGCTCTTCAGCAGTGCGGGAGTAGATGAGGATGTCATCTAGATACACAAAGACCCAGCGACCCAACATGTCTCTCAGCACATCTGTAATGAACCGCTGGAAGACGGCGGGGCTGTTGCAGAGTCCAAAAGGCATCACCAAATATTCATAGTGGCCAGTGGGCGTGATAAAAGCGGTCTTCCACTCTTAATACGGATGAGGTTATAGGCGCTGCGCAGATCCAGTTTAGTAAACACAGCGGCTTGTGTGATGGCGTCCAGAGCGGTGCCCATGAGAGGGAGAGGGTGACGGTCCCGGATCGTTATTTTATTTAACCCTCGATAGTCTATGCAGGGCCGGAGATCCCCCTCCTTCTTTTTAACAAAGAAAAACCCCGCGGCCCCGGGGGATGTTGAGGGACGGATGAATCCCTTCTGCAGGGCATCAGTTATGTAATTGTCTATAGCCCGGGTTTCCGCCGGAGAGAGGGAGAACAGGCGACCCCGAGGGGGGGTGGTGCCGGGCTGGAGCCTGATCTCCAGGTCGTAGGGTCGGTGAGGAGGTAACCTGGTAGTGGGTTCTTTAGCGAAGACCTGAGCGAGGTCGTGGTATTGAGGAGGGATGAGCGTCAGGTCTACGTCTTTGGGAGGAGCTGCTGCTGCCCGAGGTGCAGGGGAGTCCCGGTGGTTATGGCAACCCGTGCCCCAGGCCAGGACTTTACTGGTGGACCAGGAGATGTGAGGCTCATGGCGGCAGAACCAGGAATGACCTAGGATGAGAGGCGTAGCCGGAGCCTGGATGACCAGGAAGTGGAGGGTCTCCCGGTGTTGGTCAATAGTCATGTGGAGACCCTGAGTTCGGTGGGTGAGAGGGTACGGCATGATGGGCCGACCGTCCACAGAGGTCACGGGAATGGGTCGGTCGAGGGCGGTGAGGGGTATCTTGAGCCGAGTAACCAGTCCGTGGTCGATAAAACACTCCGCAGCCCCAGTGTCTAAAAGTGCCTCCAGTCTGGTCGGGCCTTGGTCCAGGTGGAGGGAGACCGGGAGAGTGGTTCGGTGTGGAGCCGGAAAAGTGGAGACTCCGGGCGGGACAGCTCCTACTCCGACCCGGAGGGACCTTTTCCCGGTCGTTTTGGGCACGTGCCACGGTGGTGACCCAAATCCCCACAATAAGCGCATCTTCCCTCCTGGTAGCGCCGTGCCCGTTCCTCAGGGGGAAGATGTCCCAGCTGCATCGGCTCCTCCGTCGGTTGGTGAGTCGGCCGGCGGGGTGACGTCCTGGTGTGTACGGGGGCTGACATGGTGCTCGGCCGGTTCAGGATGCAGCGGTCCAGTTGGAGAGCCAGATCCACTGCCAGGTCCAGGGAGGTTGGGGCCTCGTGTCCAATCATGCCCTCCCGGATTCTAGGTGACAGTCCCTCCAGGTAAACGGCCTTTAGGGCGGCGTCATCCCACCTCAACCGAGCTGCTGTCGTCCGGAAGCGAGAGGTGTACTGAGCCGCCGTCTGGGAGCCCTGGCGAAGCTGAAGCAGCCGCGTCTCGTCCGAGACCTCGCTGCTGGGGTGCACAAAAGTCTTTTTCATCTCCTTTACAAAAGTCTCATAGTCATTGCAGGCAGGAGATTTTTGATTGTAAAGAGCCGCCGCCCATTCACCGGCTCGACCTGTCAGCAGTGAGGTCAGCAGAGCGACACGAGAGCAGGATGTGGGGTAGCGTGCCGGCTGGCACTCGAAAGTCATGGCCAGGGTCGCCAACATGCCCTCCGGGGATCCCCTGGTTCCGTCCCACTTCTCTGGAAGGCTGAGGCGTGGTTCCATCCTGTCAGGAACAGCTGCGGTCTGACGTTGCAGAGCGGTGGTCAGCTGGAGTACTAGCTCGGTGAGTGACTCAATCTTTGTGGCTTGGCGATCAGCTATGGCACGGAGCTGGTTCATGTCTGCCGTCTGCTGATCCAAGATTGCGCGCTGTTGAGCCACTTCGGCACGCAAACGCGCGAACTCCGCTGGGTCAACTTGAGGCTCAGTCATCCTGTCAGGTTCGTTGGCAGATCTGAAGCGTGACTGAGAGTTCTGTTGCCCAGACGCGGAGAGATGGAGATAGCCGGCGTGGTTATCTCCTGTAGGTGTAGTTTGAGTGTTTTGAGGGCTGGTAAGCCTGGAGACTCGATACAAAGTCTGGTGAGAAACGATGACTGAGCAATGAATGAAACGCCGGCACTTCCTTAAGTAGTGCCGGCGTGATGACGTCAGTCGCCACGTTGGTGGCAGGAATGAATGGAATGCAGTCAGCTGGAGGAGTTCGTGACACTTTACACTAGCCATAAGGAAGGGCCTGTTCCTCTGCAGCCATGATAGGTAGGTAGGATTTCTTGATATCAGCAACTTCTGTTATCTGTCTGTAGTACAGCATGTAGGGGTTTGTTCTCCCACAATGGTATTTCCAGCATCTCCTCCTCTGTTTGCCATTGTCTGAGAAATTCAATGTCTGAGCACGTCATCTGTTGGAGCCTTGTCCTTGATAATTGTGGATCTTGGATGTTTCAACTGAGCACGTCATCTGTTGGAGCCTTGTCCTTGATAATTGTGGATCTTGGATGTTTCAACCCGGACAGTGGCTCTCACACTGAATATTCCTCAGCCTCCTTCCTTACGGCTAGTGCACAGTCTCAGGGTACTGGATTTGGGATGGAACTCCATAGATATCCATACATATGAAAGTCTAATGTTTATCAGTACATTGCAGACAACCATGTTAGACCAGTAGATTAGACTATGGGAGCATAATGGTGTGCTCAAATGAGACTCAGAGAACTGAACTGATTTAACAAAGAACGACGTAGTCAAATGATTTGGTTGATTACATAACAGACACAATGAGATAAAAAGTTTTCAGTTTCCTTATTCTGCAATACACAAGACAATTACATAACACAAAATACTCGTCACTTGGCCAAGTGTTATTCATTCTAGCTCTATTGGGTCCACCCTAATAACCTGAATGCTTATTCTAAAACAGGTTATCAAATTTCAATTTCCATTCAAATGACTGTACCGGATAACAATCATGTGAGGGGGTTTCCCTACACAGCAGCATAATGTGCCGTCTCAGACGTGCTTGTCCAAAAGAAGTAAGGTCAGCAACATAAAAGACAATAAAATAAAATAAAATAAAATATAGGTTGGTCAGTAGTCAATAGCATATCCAGCTGTGAGTGAAGGTTTGTGTGACACAGCCTATCACACCGATGGTGCAGCAACAAATCCGCAATGGAAGGGAATTTATTTAAGTTCTGGTGGGAAGGCCCGCCATCAAAGTCACCGGATTAATCCACTCGAGGAATTCTCCGTCATAAAAAACAAAAACAAAACCTGATCTGTTGATAGACAAGATCCAAAAGCAATACCAATATTATCTTCATTTTTCGCAGATCCAATATTCTTTTGACATCAAAATACAGTTGAAAACTCAAATTCACAGTTGAAGGATTTGGTAAATTGAGTGCTTTAAGAGCTCAATATATATTAACTCTACTTATGACCAATAAGCTGTGATACTCTATATAAATATAGAATATCATCCTGCTTGGTCTTTGTGTGTTTAATCAGAAGATTATAGGATTCTTGTTTATTCAAGGACTGTACACACTTTGTTTTGATTCAAGAAAGAGCCAGGTTTATAAAAGTAAGAATTTATTCCCAAACAATTAAAACATGACAAGTTAACTAAAATTTACTGTGATGGATGAATCTGTACTGATAAACATTAGACTTTCATAAATATTAGATTAATTACACACAACTAAAGTAGTTCAAGCCTTTTATTGTTTCTAATATTGATGATGTTGGCATACCGCTCATGAAAACCCAAAATTCCTATCTAAAAAACATTAGCATATCATGAAAAGGTTCTCTAAACGAGCTATTAACCTAATCATCTGAATCAACTAATTAACTCTAAACACCTGCAAAAGATTTCTGAGGCTTTTAAAAACTCCCAGCCTGGTTCAATACTCAAAACCGCAATCATGGGTAAGACTGCCGACCTGACTGCTGTCCAGAAGGCCATCATTGACACCCTCAAGCAAGAGGGTAAGACACAGAAAGAAATTTCTGAACGAATAGGCTGTTCCCAGAGTGCTGTATCAAGGCACCTCAGTGGGAAGTCTGTGGGAAGTAAAAGGTTTGGCAGAAAACGCTGCACAACGAGAAGAGGTGACCGGACGCTGAGGAAGATTGTGGAGAAGGACCGATTCCAAACCTTGTGGGACCTACGGAAACAGTGGACTGAGTCTGCAGTAGAAACATCCAGAGCCACCGTGTACAGGCGTGTGCAGGAAATGGGCTACAGGTGTCGCATTCCCCAGGTCAAGCCACTTTTGAACCAGAAACAGCAGCAGAAGCGCCTGACCTGGGTTACAGAGAAGCAGCGCTGGACTGTTGCTCAGTGGTCCAAAGTACTTTTTTCGGATGAAAGCAAATTTTGCATGTCATTCGGAAATCAAGGTGCCAGAGTCTGGAGGAAGACTGGGCAGAGGGAAATGCCAAAATGCCTGAAGTCCAGTGTCAAGTACCCACAGTCAGTGATGGTCTGGGGTGCCATGTCAGCTGCTGGTGTTGGTCCACTGTGTTTTATCAAGGGCAGGGTCAATGCAGTTAGCTATCAGGAGATTTTGGAGCACTTCATGCTTCCATCTGCTGAAAAGATTTATGGAGATGAAGATTTCATTTTTCAGCATGACCTGGCACCTGCTCACAGTGCCAAAACCACTGGTAAATGGTTTACTGACCATGGTATTACTGTGTGGTATTACTGTGCTCAATTGGCCTGCCAACTCTCCTGACCTGAACCCCATAGAGGATCTGTGGGATATTGCGAAGAGAAAGTTGAGAGACGCAAGACCCAACACTCTGGATGAGCTTAAGGCCGCTATCAAAGCATCCTGGTCCTCCATAACACCTCAGCAGTGCCACAGGCTGATTGCCTCCATGCCACGCTGCATTGAAGCAGTCATTTGTGCAAAAGGATTCCCGACCAAGTATTGAGTGCGTAACTGAACATAATTATTTGAAGGTTGACTTTTTTTGTATCAAAAACACTTTTCTTGTATTGGTTGGATGAAATATGCTAAGTTTTTGAGATAGGAATTTTGGGTTTTCATGAGCCTGTATCATCAATATTAGAAATAATAAAAGGCTTGAACTACTTCAGTTGTGTGTAATGAATCTAAGATAGATAGATAATCTTTGACAGACTCTTAGGTCCAGATAAAGAAAAAAGAACAAAACTTTAAAACAATGAAACAAAATAGGTAAAAACTGTGTGTTATCAGTACATTACAGACAATAATGAACTTTATCACAATATGCAATGTTTTTGAGAAGGACCTGTATGTGTGTGTGTGTGTGTATATATATATATATATATATATATATATATATATATATATATATATATATATATCGTTCAGTTTCCTGCTCGGGTCATACCAAAGACTGAAAAAATGGCACCCAATGCCTCCCTGCTTGACACTCAGCAATAAGGGGTTGGATTGGTGGGGTTAAACCACCAAACGGTTCCCGAGCGCGACTGTTTGCAGCCCCCCCCCCCCCCCCCCCCCCCCCCCCCCCCCCCCCCCCCGCTTAATGAACTGACCTGAATTGGAATGTTTACTATGTGAAGTGCCTTGAGTCGACTCTTGTCGTGATTTGGCGCTATATAAATAAACTTGAATTGAATTGAATTGAAACGTTGAGTATCCATTGCGTTTAATACTGTTACACAAATAGGGGTTTTCATTGTTTTTAACTAAATAATAAGAGAAAAATACTTTTACAGAGAGATCCCCAGTTGTTAATGCCAAAATGCCATGACACTTTATTTTGAAAGAATTTACAGAAAGTGCCTCCACTAAGTAGGTATTGTAATTTTATTAATTTATTTTTTCTAAATGTTTTAACACCAGGGTGTAGTTCCAGATTGTCACCACCGGAGGGACACATCTCTCCTCTTCATGCAAATTACACTGAGTTTAGTTCCATACCTAGGCTTAGCCCTTTCACTCCACAAAACCATCATGTTTAACGGTGTTACATAAATACGGTTTTAATCGTGTTTTTAAATAAACAAGAAGAGAAAAACATCTGTCAGAGCAAGTTCCTCTGTTACGTACATTAAAATGCCATGGAATTTTGTTTCTGAATGAATTTTCAGGAAGTTATTTTACCAAATAACTATTGACACTATAATCTTTTCATTGTCCTCCTCATCCATTATATTAATATCCCAAAGATGGCAAAGCAAAGGTTAGAATTTTTATTTCTGTTTCATTGAGATCGAAGTATAAATGTAAACTAGTGTGTAGTGAATCTTGTCGCCACTTGAGGGCAACAAATCCCCTACCAGACACAACTGAGTTTTAGCGCTTATGTAGTTCCCTTTTCTCCTTAATGTTAACTTTCGCAACCAAACAAAAACCAAGATCAGTTTGTTCAGTTTTATTGAGATGATGAGGCTAAAATGTTCTCTTCCAAATTGTTTGACCGCACCAGAGTGTAGTTCCAATCTGTCGCCACTGGAGGGAAAAAAGTCCTCTCCTCTCTGAGTCACTGTAGCTACTTCGAAGCAATATGTAGCTCAAATACATTAATTTTTCTGCTCAGTTTGAGAAATCATTTGTATGAGGGTGTGAAAACCCTCGAATGACTGTGTCTCACGCTCACTGTGTAAGTGTTGTGAGCCCTGGGCTTAATTATATGTTACAAGGGCCTGTCATAAGCCTACATTTCCCATAAGCAAGTGCGCCAGACGAGCGTGCCTTCAACCGCAGGGGGCATTGGGATTGATAGGGATGTTTCCATCATGGCGGCATCCATTTCAGGTTATACTTTCAGTTCTGTGTGTTATCACAGCGCCAACAGCAACTCAGATCACGTAAGTGTGTGACATTTATTTTTTGTTCAGTGTTAGCTAAGGTGTGTGAAGTTCGACGATGCGCGTGACTGTTCGTTAATGTCACTAGTTTGACTTGTTTTTTCCAGTGCCATCTTCCTGTTCCTGGTTCCGTCTATCTACCGGCTAGTGTGCCTTTGATTTGACTGTAGTTTCAGTAACATAAATATACTGGGTTGCTTATTTTAAGAGGATCTCGTGTTTGCTAGTTACACATATGAACTATCAACAGTAACAAATGTTAATGGCTACATAGCTCAGCGCTAGTTATTTCAGTGTATGTAAAGTTTGAGTTCCAGGAAATAGCCAGTGGTTAGCATAATAGCAAAGCTATCAAGTGACTTCCTTGTATCGATACAGCAACTGTGTACAGATGAGTACTTTGTAGCGAGACGGTGTCCTTTAATAAACAGACGAACACAACAAATGTCAAGCTAGAGAAACGACCATTAAAGCGGTAAAAGGTGTAGTCTGCCACATTATCCGCTTGCTTTCAGTAACTTATTCTGTTAACAGGTTTTGCTTTCTATCTTTTGATGGCTCTTTTTTTAAACAAATAAAATTGGAGGTCTTTGTAAATTAAAGCTATGGTCAGGCCAGTTAGCAGAACTGAAGGTTGGTCTGGATAGGTTGTTGTAAATCACAGGAAACAGGTTTGCCTGCATTCCTTTCAAAGCCGGGGGGGTGGTTGTTTTTTTGAGTTGCCGTTGTCTCCCAGAATTAAAGTTTAAAATTGTCAAACTTTTTTATTTTTACTTTTAAAACACGACAGATAAATAATTTAGAAATGAATTGATCGTGCACAAAATGAGTCATTGTTCAGGTTTTCAGTGTTATCATGGATTATTAGTTTTGAGTTAACAGCCAGGAAGCAGAAATAATTGAAAATGTGTTTAATCTCCACTTGTTTGTGGGGTTGTTCATAATTCATGAAACTGATGGAAAATGTTGGTACTAGTGATCGACCAATATGAGCTTTTCTATTGCCGATACCGACGTGTGCTGCTGATTTTTTTAGACTCATTTTTAAGGCTGATGGATTGACATTTTCTGCCCACTTTCCAGGGCTGTGTCAAGATTCAGTTTCGATTCGGGTCTTATGATTTGATTGTTAAACGATTATCATTATCTTTTGGAGCAGCTCGTGAAAAAATGTAAGGTGCGTGGTCTCAGTCGGCATAAAAAACAAGCCATGTTCAAGCTAAAGGAAAGTCTGTGACAGCGCAGAGACGGCCCCTTACACTCACTTTTTTCTACCATTGCGTAATCTTTGTGAAAGCACACGATTGTGCCACATTACCACCACAGACTAATCACTGCTGAACAAGCAAAGGCCCCTGGTGCCACCTCAGCTTTGCATCACAGTAACGCCATAGTTTTATGACAAAAGAAGGAAGTTCTGAGCAAGTTTAGTCAATCCTTGTTCGATTGCTGGCTGATTAGAACCACCACAAGCTTCTTCTCTTCATCTAACCCAGGGATCAAAACATGTAAGGTAGGACTATTCAGTTCTAGGCCTCAAAGGGCGGTATCCTAGCCTAGTGAACTAGACCAAATTCTTGCTTTGCAAAGTTTAAATAATACATTTATTTAGTCTGGCTTGCCAGGCTAGCGGTATCCAGCAGTTTTAGTGGTTTCTCTAGTCCAACACACTAGATTTAGTGGTTGAGTCTTCTTTCTCAGAAGACCACAGTGGTGGTTGAAACGTCAGCAAACAAAGGTAAAACAACTCTTTCCCTGTGTCAAACACAAGTAATGCAGTTAGAAGAAACGCACAGAATGAATGCTCAGAAGATGTTTAAAGTGAGTAGTTACAGTGCAGAAGATGCGGCATAAGAAACATTCAAGCGCTGATGAAAAGAAGAAATATTTAAAAAACTAAATTAAAATAATAGCAACCTGCTAAAAACACCAACAAAATCTAAAGTGCATTTAATCTTTTTAATCATTTTTAATAACATCTTACCATAAACAATAAAGGAAATCTTTTTTGTTTGCATGACTCAGCAGCAGCATCCTAGCAACAAATCCCTCTTTTCTAAGACTTCCTGACTAAATTGGCTCTACCACAGATGTTTAACAGCTGATACTGATATATTTTAAAAATGCTAAATATCGTCCTGATTAATCGTTCAATCATTAGTTGGTACTAGAGTTACATTTAGACTTGTAGCCAATTAATGCGCATGCTTTATAAATCTTTCTTTTTTGAAAAATCCTTTAACAATTAGCATCTTCAACGTTGTTACTGTTGTTGAAAAAAATGCAGACGTGACTAAAATGATAACATTGAACTGTGTTTGAAATTTTCTTTTAAGATTGACTGTCATTTGGATTAGAAGCATGACGATGTTGACCCACCTTTCAGAGTAGTTCTAAGAAAAACCCTCATCTTTGTTGACTAGGCCTTCTTGTGTATTTGAATTAAAGCAGGTGTTGCGTCATGTTTGGTTTTGAGACCAAATTATCGACAGAACCTGTTCCCCATAATAATGTGATTGATTAAACCGAATGCGATTGGTTTTTGTATGAAAAGCTAAAGCCTCGTCCTCTCTCCTCAGCCGCTGTTTGAAGAAGTAGCTACAAGCCACGTTATTGTACTAAATATTTGTGCCTTATGTTTTTAAACGTTTTTACACAGGAGGGCTTCCTATTAGGAGACGTGAGGCAAGAGGAGACGGTCAGCATCAGCGACACACAGATCAGCAGTGCAGAACTGCTGCAGATAGTAGGTAAGCTCAGAAACAAATGGTGAAAAACACAGGACATCTTTTCATGAACAAATAAACACCGGATCAGTGCTGGTTGTGACTACATATGTGAGACACCATTACATTTGAAGGGTATTTTTACTCGAGCAATAGCAGCATCTGTGTAAATAACATCCACTACTATGGCTGATTTCCATTTAGTTCTCATTGTTTGATAAATGAAAGCAACAGAAACTAATATCTAACATAACCAGCAACACGCAGTGCTCTTGGTTCACACTATTATTTGCTTTTGGTTAAAATATCTAAACAGTTATGCATATTTAAAACATTTTCACTGTTTGTTCCATCAGAAGTCCATAACCATGATCCTTGTGCACAGTTATTTAGGTAAGTTATGTCTCGTTTACCCTTAAAAAGCTTTTATTTTAGTTTTCATCAATCTACTCTTGTTTTGTGTAACCATTTTATTGTTTAAATGATTTCAGACATGTTATCTTATAGGTGAGTAAAACACTCACTGGCCAGTTTATTCGGTACACCTTACTAGTACCGGGTTGGACCCCCTTTTGCCTTCAGAACTGCCTTAATCCTTCATGGCATAGATTCAAAAAGGTACAGGAAACATTCCTCAGACATTTAGGTCCATATTGACATGATAGCAGCGTGCAGTTGCTGCAGATATGCCGGCGGCACTTCCATGATGCGAATCTCCCGTTCTACCACATCCCAAAGGTGCTCTGTTGGATGGAGATATGGTGACTGTGGAGACAATCTGAATACAATGAACTCATTGACATGTTCAAGAAACCAGTCTGAGATGATTTGAGCTTTATGACTTGGGGCATTATCCTGCTGGAAGTAGCCATCAGTAGATGGGTACACTAGTCATAAAAGGATGGACATGGTCAGCAACAATACTCAGGTAGGCTGTGGCATTGCAATGATGATCAATCTGTACTAAAGGGCCCAAAGTGTGCCAAGAAAATGTCCCCCACACCATTACACCACCACCACCTGCCTGAACCATTGGTACAAGGCAGGATGGATCCATGCTTTCATGTTGTTGGCACCAAATTCTGACCCTAGCAGCAGAAATCGAGACTCATCAGACCTGGCAACATTGTTCCAATCTTCTATTGTCCAATTTTGGTGAGCCTGTGTGAATTGTAGCCTCAGTTTCTTGTTCTGAGTTGACAGGAGTGGCACCCGGCGTGCACTTCTGCTGCTGTAACCCATCTCCCTCAGGATTCCACGTGTTGTACATTCAGAGATGCTCCTCTGCATAACTTGGTTGTAATGAGTTGTTATTTGAGTTACTGTTGCCTTTCTATGAGCTCGAACCAGTCTGGCCTTTTTCCTCTGACCTTCGGCATCAACAAGGCATTTTCGCCCACAGAACTGTCACTCACTGGATGTTTTCCCCCTTTCAGACCATTCTCTGTAAACCCTAGAGATGGTTGTCCATGACGGTCCCAGAAGATCAGCAGTTTCTGACATACTCAGACCAGCCTGTCTGGCACCAACAACCATGCCACGTTCAAAGTCACTTAAATCACCTTTCTTCCCCATTCTGAAGCTCGGTTTGAACTGCAGCGGATCTTCTTGACCATTTCAACATGCCTAAATGCATTGACTTGCCACCATGTGATTGGCTGATTAGTAATTTGAGTTAACAAGCAGTTGGACAGGTGTACCTAATAAAGTGGCTAGTGAGTGTATATGGCATATGATGCATTTTACATAAATAATCTTCTGAAAACTTGTTGATCATTCTTGATTTGGTTAAGTTTATTATTTTAGGTCATTAAAAATATTCTGACAGTTCTAACCTTTATAAGTCATTCATATTAAATTTGGCATTGGCTCCCTCTGACTAGTCTAGGATTATCCCGGCAGAGAAGGGGGACAAGTTGGATGAATGTGTTTGAACTTTTCTGTTTCTTTTTCCCTCTCATCAGCTTTTATGACTACGCAGGTAAAGTCAATGAAGAAAATCTCAACAGCATTCTTAAAGACAGGAGGAAAGTGAGTGTTTCTACTTTTCTTCTCGTAAAATGTCAAAACTTAACCACGATCTGAGGTTGTAAAATGGCTTTAGATAAAACGTCGTTGCTTTGGTCGTGCAGAATGTTATTGGTTGGTACCGGTTCCGGAGGAACACGCAACAACAGATGTCGTTCAGGGAGCAGATTATCCACAAACAGCTGACTCAGCTGCTGGGTGTGCCCGACCTCGTCTTCCTTCTTTTCAGCTTCATCTCTACTGCCAACAGCTCCACACATGCTCTGGAGTATGTGCTCTTCAGACCCAACCGCAGGTGCAAATCACTCCTAATCACACACGTTTATGTGTAATTCAATCAAATGCACTTTTGTTTCCATGTGCATGTGCTGATGAGGTCAACACAAAGGTCTTAAACTATCGATTGCATCAAAAGGACACCAACCCAAACATGCAGGTGTTGGTCTTAAAATTGGAATATCATAAAAAGTTGATTTATTTAAGTAATTCAATTCAAAAAGTGAAACTTGTATATTAGATTGTTTTATTACACACAGACTGATATTTCAAATGTATATACAGTGAGGAACATACGTATTTGGGCACCTTGCAATTTTTCAAGTTCTCCCACTTAGAAATCATGGAGGGCTCTGAAATTCACATTGTAGGTGCATTCCCACTGTGAGAGACAGAATGTAAAAAAACAAAAAATTAGGAAATTACATTGTATGATTTGTAAAGAATTGATTTGTTTTGCACTGCTGGACATAAGTATTTGAACACCTGGCAATCAGCAAGAATTCTGGCTCTCAAAGACTTGTTACTCTGCTTTTAAGAAGTCCACCTCTACTCCACTTAGTAATCTCAATTAGTAGCACCAGTCTGAGCTCTTTAAAGACACCTGTCCACCCCACAGTCAGTCAGACTCAAACTACTACCATGGGCAAGACCAAGAAGCTGTCAAAAGAAACCAGAGACAAAATCGTGGACCTCCACAAGACTGGAAAGGGCTACTGGGAAATTGCCAAGCAGCTTAGTGAAAATAGGTCAACTGTTGGAGCAATTGTCAGAAAATGGAAGAGGCTAAAGACGACTGTCAGTCTCCCTCGGACTGGAGATCCATGCAAGATCTCATCTCGTGGGGTATCACTGATGATAAGAAAGGTGAGGAATCAGCCCAGAACTACACGGGAGGAGCTGGTCAATGACTTGAAGAGAGCTGGGACCACAGTTTCAAAGGTCACTGTTGGTAGAACACTATGCCGTCATGGTTTCAAATCACGGATTGCACGAAAGGTTCCCCTGCTCAAGTCATCACACGTCCAGGCCCGTCTGCAGTTTGCCAATGACCATCTGGATGATCCAGAGGAGGCATGGGAGAAAGTCATGTGGTCAGATGAGACCAAAGTAGAACTTTTTGGTCTAAACTTCACTCGCCGTGTTTAGAGGAAAAAGGAGAAGTTGCATCCAAAGAACATCTTCCCTACTGTGAAGCATGGGGGTGGAAACATCATGCTTTGGCAGTGCTTTTCTGCTAAGGGGACAGGACAATTGTACTGTATTAAGGAGAGGATGAATGGGGCCATGTATTCTGACATTTTGAGCAACAGCCTCCTTCCCTCAGTCAGAGCATTGAAGATGGGTCGTGGCTGGGTCTTCCAACATGACAATGACCCGAAGCACACAGCCAGGATAACCAAGGAGTGGCTCTGTAAGAAGCATAACAAGGTTCTGGAGTGGCCTAGCCAGTCTCCAGACCTAAATCCAATCGAAAATCTTTGGAGGGAGCTGAAACTCCGTGTTGCTCAGCACCAGCCCCAGAACCTGACAGATCTAGAGAAGATATGTGTGGAGGAGTGGGCCAAAATCCCTGTTGCTGTATGTGCAAACCTGGTCAAGAACTACAGGAAACGTTTGATCTCTGTAATTGCAAGCAAAGGCTTCTGTACCAAATATTAATACTGATTTTCTCAGGTGTTCAAATACTTATGTCCAGCAGTGCAAAACAAATAAATTCTTTACAAATCATACAATGTGATTTCCTGATTTTTTGTTTTTTTACATTCCGTCTCTCACAGTGGGAATGCACCTACAATGTGAATTTCAGACCTCCATGAGTTCTAAGTGGGAGAACTCGCAAAATCGCAATGTGTTCAAATACTTATGTTCCTCACTGTATATTTTTAAATTTTGATGTTTAAAAATGACAACTAATGAAAATCACAAATTCAATATCTCAGAATATTGCTGTAGAAAACACCAATAACTAATTGTTGTCATCTGAGCTGGACAGTTTGGAAAAGAAAAGTTGGAACGTTGCATTTTTTTAGGGTTCCTATCAGGAAAGTTTGATAATGTGGCTCCCCTTTATTGCCCATTGTTCACTAATTGGAACGTTTGAACATTCGCGCATTTATCCAAACTACTTGTTCATGAATAGTTAAAAAAGTGAAAGGATTTGAGGTTTTTTCTTGGAAAAATGGAATAATTTCAGTTTGAAAACCCAAAGATTCTAAACGATCATTTTCTCCCAGCAGGTACAACCAGCGGATCACCCTCACTATCCCAAATCTTGGTAACACAAGTCAGCAGGAATATAAAACCTCATCAGTACCCAACACGTCTCACAACTACTCAAAGGTCATCAAAGAGCACGGGTATGTTTGTGATTTCTGTCGCAGAGCGTTAACTTAGCAGCTTTTTTGTAAAAATTCAATCCAGATTTTTTTCTTGTCTGCATGCACTTGTCCGGGTTCACTTTTGACTCGGCGTAGGCGGCGTACGTTTGCCGAAGGCTGATTGTAGTGAGAGGCTGGTATGCGACAGCCAGCACAAGTGTTGGCTTGTATTTTTGTGTCTTTTTGTCTAAACTTAGATGCACGGTTTCCGTTGTGGATGAGGACAACCAGACTGTTGGGATTTAGTCTGGCCTGTCCATCTGGTGTCTGATGTCTCATTTTACCTCCTTTTCAGACTGTGTTTTAGTGCAAAACTTTGTTACTTTGGGTTTAAAGTTTAGGTTTAGCTTGTGCTACGTTTTCCTGCAAAGATGTCATTGCTCTGTTTCTTTCTGTAACTGTCCTCAGGGCTGAGTTCTTTGACAAAGATGGTGTGATGAAGGATATTCGAACAATATTCCAAGTCTACAGCGCGCTACAAGATAAAGTCCAGGTGAGGAGGATGTGGTTGATTTTAGTCATTGACACAAAGTGAAACTGTTCTGTCACTAGATGTTTTATTTATTTTTTTCACTTGCTGGTTTTATTTGTAGGCTGTGTGTGGGGAGGTAGAACAAAGTGAACGTGTTAAAGAGAAAATTCAAGAGGATGTGAACAAACTCAAACAACAAATTGCTCTCCGGAAGCGCATGAGAGCAGAAGAGGAGAGAAGTATGTCATTTTTGGATCAAATCTATAGTTTTAAAACGTTTAGATACCTGAACCATCCCTAGACCTGTTATTCTTGATACAAGAGCCAGCGTCATTCTTAAAGCTTCAATGGCAAATCTGCGAAACAAGTTAGTTTAAAGCGTTTTTTTTTTCATGCTTCTTAAAAATGTTCTAACATGGTGTAGCTATAAATATTTTGTGGAGCCAAAAAGTAGAAAATTCCTGAAGACATTTTAAAAGGGACCTGCCCGTTGGCACAAGATAGTGGCCGTGTGTTATAGAGGCCCAAAATCATGATATATGTGTGACGTTGGGGTGATCACCCAAATATTGTGCTATACCACGCTTCCCATGGCCAAGCCGGTTGTGTTCATGCAACAAATGAGGGGGTGCATGCCCCCCAAAAATAGAATTTCTTGAAAAAAAAATTGAAAGTGACCCTAGCTGGCCAGATTGAAAATTGGGCAGGCTAATTAAAGAGGCATTTTTTACACAGTTTCTTTTGCTAATAACGTTGCCATGGTAAATCGGATTGCTTAGAAAAGTAATGGCACACTTCCTATGGCCGAGCTGGTCGTTTTGATGTACAATTTGTGGGGTTGCACTCTGCTGTTCCAGCCGCATTAACGTTCGCGGAAGAATAAAGATAACATCCTCCGGTGAAGAATAATAAGCGCCCTGCCTTGGCCTGGTAGACCACTAATGAAGTGGTTCTCTCACATTTGTCTGAAAAGTTCAGACATTTATTTGGCCATCCAGTTGTTGGTCTCCCAGACTGCCACACTTCTGCACTAGCCTGGGTCCTCCATTCTTTATGCGCTTGTGGATTTTACACCAGAATGTCTCTGGTGTGAGCGATTGTCTGCTCAGTGACGTCAGAGAAGGAGAGACAGCCGGCTGCTACCGCTACAACTTAAGGACAAACTACCAGAGTCCCAAACACCATTTGGAGTTGTGGAAAACAAGACATTTGGATGTAAAAAAAACGCCGACTGGTGTTTTAGCACTCTCTCGTTTCCTCTGGTAATGTGGGTTCCTGTGTCAGGCAGGTGTGGCCTAGGATGGGATGTGTGAGAATTCCGTGTCTGTTTGAAATATGGCTTGATTTGCCATTGCAGTTTTATTTTTTATCCATGGTTGGTTTAAATATTTATTTGTACAGTAAACGTATACAACCCGACTAGATTGTCATTTCTTGGCAGTTATATCTTTTTCTTTTGTCCAAAGGGCTCCATGAGGACTCCCATTCCACTCCGGAGGAGAATACGGAACCTTGTGAGGCTACGCTTCTTTCCAGGATCAGTTTTGATGCACCTTCAGCCCCAGAGCGGCCCAGCACCTCACCAAACCCACCATCTTACACTGACCTCTTATCCCAAACTGTAAATGTGCTCTCCTCCTCCTCTCCACCGACCAGTGCTGCTCTGTTGCCCCGGCCTCAGGCTGTGGGCTCTCCAGGACACCCTACACCCATCCCACTGGGGCCGGACCTGGGTCTCGGCATCAGGCTGAACATGGGCCTCGGTGCCACTTTAAATCCCGTTAGCACTCCCAGCACTCCGTACCTCGGTAACGGTGACGGTTCGAGCTCTGATTCATTAGACAGACAAGCCGCAGGCCAGGAAGATGATGATGAAGAGGATGAAGAAGATGAGGACAGTAGTGAATATGAAAACTTGGTGAGCGAAGGAACTCATCTACCTTTAGTTCCAGATGGTGTCTTGTCTCAAGGCCGGCCAGCAGCCCTGAACCCCGATGGGGACGCTCGTGGCTCACAAATGACATAGAAACTCGTCACAGGATTTGAGCCGGACACAAATAAGTGACGCATCTGAAGCAATCAAAAATAAGCAAATGTAGACCAACGAAGTGCCAGTCCTGAAAGTGAAAGGCATGTGCAAGTGGTGTCCCGCTGTGTAACTCTTCTCGTCTTAGTCTGATCTCCATGTTAAGGGGAAACCTCTCCAGGCTTTGCAGGTGCATCTCACTGGGCTAAAGGTTGTGTTTTTATATGCTCTTTGAATTTAGGTCTTTCAAGGTACACAAGTGTGGATCCGTCTTGTTTGCAGGTCAGACGTGAATTTTACAGACTAATGTACGCCAACTGGTTGGCGAGCTTGCTTTCAAAAAGACCGGCCCACACTTTAACATTTTGTCTTCGCCTTCCTGTCTCAAATTTGCGTCCCCACTTAAGCACCCTTTCTTGCATTACCTTCTTGCACACTATTATTTTGAGGCAATCTTCAACTTGTCTGGTTACTAACGTCAAACTATTATATTATTTTTAGATATTTATATTGAGATTGATCTTGGACTTTACCGTTTTTCATAAACCAAAACGGTTGCCCATTTAAATCAGAAACAATGATGAATAGAGGATTTCAAACAACAATCACTTCTCTAATGGCTGCTTTTTATATTAATCCCAATATATATATGTATGTTTTGTCACGTTAAACATCTAACATGACTCACTGTAGTGTCAATGTCTTGATTTTCTGGGATTTTACTGAAACTTTTGTTTTGCTGAAAAATGAAGATTTCTTTTCGCTGCTATACCAATGCTGACATGCTGTGCCACTTGCCCTCTTCAACCACCTTGAGTCAAACTTTTTTTTTTTTTTTCATCGTAAAGCATTAACAGGGATAACACGGTATATTGTAGCTTTACTAGCTAGTTGCTTAATATTCCCTTTGCTGCTGCAACACAGAGTAACTAGAAGTTGCATCTGTTCTTTTTAAGATAAAACATGGCTGCTACTTTCATTTTACCGTATTGGCTGTTAAAGTACTACTGACCACTCTCATCACTGATCATTGCTTTGTCTCTATTAAAGCTTTAATAGAAGACAGATACCCACTGTAGTGTGTGAGCTGTCACCTTGGAAACGGATCGGTCTCTTGTCTTTGTGTAATTAGCCATCACACATCTATCCTGGCCTGCTTGGGTAAGCGTACAGTGTGTGGACCTAGGTAATGTGATTTTAGCATGACCGCTGCATTAGACTACAGTGCCTTATACTCAGGACAATTCATAACGACTCAAATCTCTGTAGAGGAAAGAAATAAGACAATTTTCTTTTAAGCTTACAGAAATCCTCCAAGTTTGTTTTCATGACGTTTAAGTTCCACAGCTATGTGCTTCCCATTTCTGGTGTTTCTAATCGATCTGAAACAACCATCGCTATATTCTGAGCGCATTTCCCTTGTTGCTGTCAGTAATGTTGAAGTTTGCCTGCATCTTATGGCTACAAATGTTAATTTTTTTGACACTGGTACCAGATAATGGAACAGTACAAAGAAAAGATGAGGAGAATAATGACCGACAAGCAGAAAAATGCATTTACAGATCTGGCCTGAAGGAGATGGTGACTGATTTTTTAAAAAGGTTTCCTTGCATGGTTCATTGTTGACATTGGTGGATGATCGCACGTTACGGACACTTTTGCCTTGTAAGCAAGCTTTGCTTTACTTACACATGCTGTTTGTATGTACCTTTTTTTTTTTACTTTAGGGACATTTCACTTGCTTCTATGTGTAATGCCAATGCATCACTGACCAGGAACTGGCACTTAAAATGTTGCTTAATAATTACCAAGAGTTACAATCACACAATGGAAGATTACAAAAAATCTGCTTGTTAAAAGTATAATTTCCTTACCATAGTGGGATTTAAGGAGGAAATAAATGATGAATGTATTGTACAAATAAAAAACGGGCATGGGGTAGCATTTAAACAGCACTTAACTATTTTTTTTTTCTTAGTTGGACAATGTGAGGGTAAGGAAAATGGAGCTGAGGGTCTGTAGACTTTTAACACTTGTCTTAATGTGGGCTCTTCTGTGACCTCGGACCTTACAGCTGATGTGAAAACCTGCAGAACAATGGTGCAAAAGGCCACTGGGATGAAGCATGAGAGAATACACTTGACCAGAACACAGTACCTTTTAAAGTTTCACCATAATCCAAATATACACCCCTGTAAGAATGGGATGACCCCCTTTGCTTCTACCACGGGGAAGAGCGTTCTGACATTATCACCGCCTTAAAGCACAAAGTCCAGTGCACACCTTGGATAATCTGGGATTTTATCTGGATTTGTGTAATTTAATGAAAGTTGACCAAGGACTTTACTTAGGTGAGCAGAGAGATCAAGGTGCTTAAATTGAGGGATAATAAAGAAGACGTTCATTTGTGATCCCATCAGTCATTGTGTTTGTTTTTGCGTTACATACTTTTTAAATGCATATAGAAGAAAATGTAATTTTTTATACATTTTCCATATTGTGAAAAGGATGAAAACGGGTAAAGAAATTGCAGATCCTGCCATAAACTCACAAGAACATAACAAATATCAGATGGTAACCTCTAGGAGGGAACTGTTGCTCCAGCAGCTACCGTGCATTACTGCAGACTGCTTGCTGCAGTATTTTTTACAATGACATCATCCTCTCACCTCTTACGAGGGGATACCACGTGGTTGTTTGCCATACATGCAACGTTTTGAAATGCTCAAATAAAAAGCAGACGCTTGTGTAACAAGGTGAACCATTCAAGACAAAAATTCTTTAAACGCTCTGGCTGTCGTGGCTGTCTATTTTGCGTCTGTTTTACATTCACAGTCTTTTAACATTTGGAATAAGAAATGTGAAATCTGATTGGTTGTTTGTATGTGTATCCATTGGCAATGACCAATCAGCGCAGTTGGCAGATTCAGGTGGTAAATCCTGCCTCTGACTGTAACACGGCTCGGAGCCCTCTACTCTCCCCTGTAGTGTATTTTTCAACCCTGCTTCGGTTGCTTCCCTCCCCCCCTGTGCCGCCGCCATTAAAGCCCGTCAGCCTGGCGTTTGGGAATCGGGAAAACGGATTAAAATGATTTAAAGCGTTGGAACCAAGCGGCGGAGGGACGGGACTGGGGAGGGGGGGCTGCTGGTTCGGTGGCATATATGGACCGTCCACTGCCAGTTAAAAGGCGCCACAAAGAAGTAAATATGCGGTTAGTGTCGTCCAAGTGAGAGAGTTCAGACTGGAGAGGGTTTCTCCGACGCGGGGGAAGCTCCATTTGTTTTGGCCGCTGCGGGGGACTGAGGAGAGTAAACCCAGCAAAGCAGAGGTGAGGTTTACATCGCAGTTTTGTATACTTAATAATGACCTTTCGAGTGTCTACTGGACACAAAATAATCCCGTAATGCAAGCAGGCAGGCAGGTAGCTATCTTGGCTATTATTTTCTCTTTGACAGCCGCCGAACGTTGTAAAACAACCACAAGCTAGCTGGATACCTATGGTCAGTCAGTTTATTTCCACGTAAAACAGTTAGTTTCCTCACTTTCTAGAATGAAGCAGATGCTATTTTGTTATCTTAACGAACAGGCAGCCCCGAGAGCAGTCACAAGTGTGTAAAATGCCACACAGTGTGTTTGTAAACTTAGAGGCGTGGTGTAAACAGTAACTCCCCTTTGAGCGTAGAGCTAACTTTTTATTATGTTTGCATTAGCTTGTCTCTGATTAACGATGTTCAGGATGTGTCGAGGTTTGAATCATTTCATTATATTTTTAGTGCAGATAATAATAGGCTTTGGGTTGAAATCAGATTTAGGTTATGACCGCATTACAGCAAGAAGCAACAAGGGAAGGTTCGTGCCAAGGGGCCCTCAAGAGTCTGGGGGCCCTGAGTGTTTCTTCCCCCCCCCCCCGAAAACTCGACGGAAAAAATAGGAATTGAAGAGGGACAAAACATCCCCAAAAGTACAACTAAACCGCTTCTAGGGGCACGAAATCCTGAAAAAATGACCCAAGAGATTCAGAAAGAGCATCTACATACATTAAATCAATGGCCCTCGAATGTTTCCAAAATAAAAGCCTCAGAGACCCCAGACCTCAACTGTTGCTGGTTTATTCAAAACGTTGCTACTAAACAATTGATCAGACTGGTCATCCATTAGATTATTTTTTATACTTTTAAAGCTACTGTTTTAGTTCTTTATGTAATAAGTTAATTTGTTTGACCTTGTGTTTCACAACCCACAATTGGATTTTAAAGGTGTGAATCACAGAAAAAAGATTTTTAAAATATTATTTCTGATGAAAATCTGTCACTCTGAGTTGGGAGTAAAACCGATATATTGGGCGATATTTACCTTTTTATATGTTGGAATTGGTTGATAGTTTTACTTGGTAAAGCTGATTTAAAAGTCAGTCACATTCTCTGGCAGCCTGATGCTGTTGCAGAATTTAAATCCATGTATTTTTACATATACTAATAATGTCTGCAAAATAAATGCTCTAATTTAACTTTATTTAGGCGTCTGAATTTAACGCTGAGCAGTGTACACAGTTAAGATTTAACAATTCAGAGTTCAAAAATTATTCACCTTCTAAAATTTTGTGCATCGACATTTTAGCATGAAAATAAGGTGGAAAAGGGCTAGATATCGGCCATGAAATTCAGCCCATAAAAATCGGCAGTACATATTGGCTGTCAGCTGACCAAGTCTCCTACAAATCGGTATCTGCAATAGAAAATCTAATATTGGTCGACCTCTACTCAAGTAGGCTGAACATGAAAATGGTCGTCTACACCTATCTGATCTACATCACACTGTCTCTTGACATTCATGGACTCACCTGTCTTGGCTCATGACAAGGAAGTCTGTTGTTGCTTTACCAAGCAGGAAACAGCAGAGAACATCTCGGCTAGTAGAAGCTAGCCGTTAGCATTAGTAACTTCACCACATGTCAGAACTTCTCCAGGCTTGTGCTATTTTTGGAGATGAAACATCAGTGTTGCAGAGCAAACTGAGCCAGTGGTAGAATCATGTTGCTGTTATCCAGTCAGAGGTTAGATGTCCAAATATCAGGAAATAAGACTCCCAAAACCTGCCGTCTGAAGCTCAGCTGTTATGTGGCTCACTTCTAGTTCCTGCAAATTGTGAATCGGTTGGTTTTTTTTTTTTTGGCATCAAAATGCATCTTTAAAATTCACAGACTTCATATGTGAAATGCATGGCACATAACAAGCGGGATTAGAAAATAGTGTTTTTAAACCCATTCACTTGCATATTGTTCCGGGGAAGTGGATATGTGTGACTTAACTCACCTTTAACCCTAACTTTGGGAATCAATGCCAAAAAAAGACCAATGAGACACAAAACTTGTTTCAGAGATGTGCAAAAAAGACAAACTGTAACATAATTGGAAAACAACGAAGAGACATCTTCAAACAGATTTGAAAAGTGGCAATTTAGAGGTGCTACCCTTAAATGCATCAAACAATTTGAAGGAGATCCTTTTCATTCTGGGTGTCCTACTCTTGTAAGTAAAGGGGGTGTTGGGAGCTGTTTTCATGTCTGTGCCGGGATGCTGTCTTCTCATAATCCATCCATAATTTCAGTGCTTCAGTAAGTGTCTTAACCAGTCACCCGCCTCCCTGCTGAGTGTCAGGTTTCATCCACCCTTGTCTCTTATTACCCAGCTCAGCTGTAGGGCACAGTTGCTTTCCTCGTGTATTGTAACTTACAGTGTGTGTTTAAAGTGAAAGTTAGTGTCACAGTTTAATTAAAGCATCATGGGTATGTCCCATATTTAAGGCTGCAGTTTTACACTTTTGCATTTTGTTCTACAACTTACAGGTTCATGTCTATTCATGAGCGGACAGTCCTCCTGATTTATTTTGTTTGCGCTGTACCAGAAGGTCTATTACAATAGTCTGTTTCTCTGCATTATTGGAGAAATGCAAAACCAGAATCATTGAAGTTGTTGCAGAAAATGTATTCTGTTTGATTGCTGATTGCTCATTCTTTCACCTCCCAGAAGTGTTTATCTTAGAGTTCAGTCTTTCTGTTTTAAGCATGAAGCGATTTCCTTGTTCAGTTTTTATTTCTTCTCATCCCTAGTTTCCTGCATGCTGTGTGATCTCCTTAAGAGTGGATCTGCCGAGCTGACGGTCCCCCTGAACGGCTGGAAGCCTCCTTCAGTGGCAGCGTGACAATGACCGAGCTGGTTGCCAAGTGGGCCTGTGAATACTGCACATACGAGAACTGGCCGTCAGCCATCAAGTGCACCATGTGCTGCGCTCAGAGGCCCAGCGGGGGTGCCATCATTACTGAGGAGCCCTTTAAGAGCAGCCCTGCCTTGGATGCCAGTCTGCATCAGTGGGACCCAGCAGGCCTCAGCAACAGTCCATCTCAGGGTGGGTCAAGCCTACTGATTTGTCCAGACTCTAGCGCCCGGCCTCGTGTTCGTATCGCTGATGTACCCGAGACTAGTAGCAAGTGGTCGTGTCACATGTGCACCTACCTAAACTGGCCTCGTGCTATCCGTTGCACCCAGTGTTTGTGCCAGAGACAGCATGCTCAACAGCACCAACACGGGCAGCATGTGACCCATCATGGACACCATACCCAGCAGCCTCACAGCCCCACAGAATCACCCCAAACTTCAGGCTCTGGATGCCGCCCTGCTCCCCCAGCTACCACCACAGACCCTTGTGAGGAGTACAACGACCGCAACAGGCTCAACACACACACACACCACTGGACCTGTTCGGCCTGCACCTACGAGAACTGGGTCAAGACAGTCAAGTGTGTTGTGTGTGATCACCCCAGGCCCAACAGTCTTCTCACTGAATCTATCAAACTGGCATCAGAGCCTGAGAGTCAACGGCCATCCTCGACTGTCAACAAACAGGACAAGGACAACAGGAGGAGTGCTGTTGGGCAGGGTGTGGGGAGTGTGGTGGCGGGTGTGGTGGGCTGCAGCAGCAGCCAGAGGAGATCCCCTCCATCTGAAAAACGGGAGTCTGACATGAACATGGACTTTCAGAGAATTGAATTGGCATCAGGAGCTGGGATTGGGAGCAAAGAGGAGCTTGAGGTGGATTTTAAAAAACTGAAGCAGATTAAGAACAGGATGAGGCGGACTGACTGGCTGTTCCTCAATGCGTGTGTTGGTAAGTTTAAATACAAAATCTGCTTTTAAAACATTTTCTTTTTTTTTCTACACCTGAGTCAGTAAACGATCATCTTCTGGATAATTAGTTAGAAAACTGTTCACAACAACATCCAGATGACTCCAGTTTATATCCTACTGATGCTTAAATGCTGTTTAGATTTCCTGTGTTAGTCGGTAGAAAGTTCCCCGCACAGTTAGCCACCCACACTGATGTGGGGGAGAGTTGGAGGAAAAACAACACAAGACTACTCTAGCTTTTTCATTCTCCTCATTTAGCTCTACGTTGGGTTCAGAAGCCGTCAAACCTCCAGTTCCCATCAGTCTCCCTGACAATTATTCTGTGTTCTGCTGACGGGACACATTTGTCAGTCACACTATTTGATAACCTATTGAAGCTCTCATAGTGAAAAATAACTGCAATCCTTTTATTGCTGCTACAATCTTTTAAGTGAATGTCTGTCGCCTGATTGTAAAGGCAGCTTATTTCCACATGGGACATGTTGAAATCCCTCATGTCTGCAACACAAGTGGCTGTTCTGTTTTTATTTTACTTTTTATTTATTTATTTTTTTCTGTTTAGCATATTAAAATTTTAGCGTTCCTATGTATTTAAAGGAAAATGTCTTTAGTTAAATTCTTTGTTGTCTACTGAAGGAAATGAAATCCAGACCTTCTATAATATTACTAACCAATTGCTGGTCCCTTTCCAGGTCCATCTGTCAGGATTATAGTCGTGGGAATTTGTGTGAAGTTTGTGCAGAAAGAAAGTTGATTCAGAATATTATTATCCTTTTGGTAAACAACATTTAAGCTTCAACTTGAATTAAACGTGACAGCAAATTAACAAAAGGATTGTCTTTACAAGGAAATAGTTCAGCAATAAAATACTGGGATGTCACTGTGCAGCATTTCCTTTTTCTGTATCTATAGATGCTAAATTAATCATCTGAAGCATTTAAATAGATTTTAGTGCTAATCCAAATCAGAGGTCGACTGAAATTGGTTTTTCTATTGCTGATACAGAGATGTAGGAGACATGGTCAGCCGATGGCCGATATCTAGACATTTCCCACCTTATTTTCATGTTGAAGTGTCACTAATAACATCATTTGATACGATATTTCTGACGCTGAATCAGATTTTGAACTCTGAATTGAACCAACTGTTAAATCTTAACTTTGTGCACCACTCAGTGTTAAAGTCAAACACCCAAATAAAGTTACCGTAATTTCCGGACTTTAGAGCGCACCTCAATATAAGCCGCATTGGGCTAAAAGCCGCAGATATCTACTGAATTGAAAACGTAGTTTGTCAGTGTCGCTCTCCGTGTTGCTGTCATCATCCCGGGGTGAAGCGGCGAAAACACGCAGCCAGAGTCCGAAAATAACACTCGCCACACGCCAAATGCGAGCAAATTGCTCCATTTGGCGAGTAAATTTTTGAGCTCTACCTGCCACCTGGCGAGTAAATGTTTGCACCAAATTAGTTATGTTTATCAGTCATCTTCCATGGATTTCTGATACTCCTCCCGCCTGCATGCAACGTACACAAACGTACGCGAAACGTGAACGCCGCATCCAACGTCATTTCCACCTATCCCATTCAATTAGTTTATCAAGTTAGCAATTAGCTTCGTGTTAAAACTAGTGGTGAAATGTGGCGGTTTTTAACTGTAGTCAGCCAGCCTTCCAAAAGAAAACTCGTCGAACTGGAAGAAAAACCACCAGGACCAGTGGCAACCAGAAGATTTTGTGAAAAGTGGCGAACTGGAGATGGCGGAGTCGTGAGACAATGGCTACATTATGATGGCCACGTAGCGTTGCTGCCTTTCACAGACAACTGTCCCTCTGCATTCTTCAAATATCCAAAAAATGCCCGTACTTCCGACTTTGTCTTCTTTGAGGGATAATAAATGACCTGAGTGCTGCCGTCTCCTCCTGCCATTATTTCAGCTTTAGCTTAAAGAAAGTTTTGGTCGTAAAAAAACAACAAAGTGCGCATGTGCCGCCGGCAACTTCAGCAGATGATACGGTGGCTGGTAAGGGTCACCGCGCCTACACCGCAGCCACGGTAATCCACCGAGAAATAAATTTTTTTTTTAAAACAAGATGGTTATTATTGTCAACTTCTTTACCAGGGTTTACCGCTACACCGGTTACCGTGACAACCCTAGCCCTGACACTTTCAGATATTCTCATGGTGCAGCTGTGTTCTCCAGAGATCAAGGACTATGACCCAAATGAGGCTGTAATGCTTTGGCACAAAGACGGTGTCAGAAGCAGGAGGCCAGACTTCATGGACAGAGAAAACAAGGAGTCTGACTAGATTTCAATGAAAGAGTTCATAAAAACATCTCTAAAAATAAATAAATAAATAGTAAAAATGACAAAAGAGTTGTTTTTCTTATTAATTGATGTTTTAATTATTTTGTCACTCTGTTTGGAATCAACATAATATAGAATAACATGCTTTAGGTAGATCTAAATCATTTAGAATTTTGGCCGGTAGAAGATATGCTTGGCCGGTAGATTTTCATCATCTACCGGCCAACTTGGCCGGTGAGTAAAAAATTAAATTTCGGACCCTGCACGCAGCGCTGTTTTACTGTGAAAAAATCCTCCGGGGCACTTTCCATAGCACTCCTTTCCAGCATCCATCCTTTTAAAGCCGCACACCTCATTATAAGCCGCGTTCAAAGCGTGGGGAAAAAGTAGCGTCTTCTAGTTCGGAAAATACGATAATTTAGAGTATTTATTATGCAGGTGTTATTAGTTAAGTTCTGCAACAGCACCGGGCCGCCCCAGGATGTGTTCAACTCTATATTGGCCTTACTGAGGACAAATATTGGCCGACGTATTAACGATGGTACGTATCGGCCAACCGATATATTGGTCTACCCTTAATCCAAATGGGATGCTTTGTTAAACCTATTACAGAGCCGGTGTGTTTTGGGAGTGTCAACATAAACACAATCCGCATTAAAAACACAATTCTCATGGCTGATCGAGTGATTTGGCCTCTCGGATTTTGCAAGTGTGTATTGAACAACAGCCATAGAAAGTGTTGATACACTGTGAACTCTCATGGATGCTCATGTTTGCGGTCCAACCTGCTGTACTAAGAAGGCGTGATTCATGGAAATTAAAGTGAAAAAGTGTGAAGGACAACAGCACTTATCTTTGCTACTACTCTGTGTTTGACCCTTAAACACAACCCAACAGCTGCTGCTTTACTTACATTTAACTGGGATGATTCATCGTTTCCCAGCTTGCAAATGTTTGTGTTTCAGCCATTTATTAGCTCTTGAGACTTCATATGACCGTAAAGGTGCATTTCAACCAGAAGAAGCCTGGAAAGGTTGATTTTTCAGTGGTTATTGTCTTCCTATCAAACAAAGCAAGGATTAAATGGGTGCACGCACATGCAGTGTCCTGCTTCAGTGGGACCCCGCAGTCTCCTCTTTAGGAGTGTGAAAGGAAACATGCACTGTCAAAGGAAGCCTCTGTGAACACAGTGGAAACGTGCAACACCAAACAAACCCATGTCCTGCTTTTTCTGAGTGATAGTAGCAAGGAGTTTTTTTTTAACACAAATTGCACTTCCTCACACTAATCTGTCAAACCAAAATGAAAAATATGTCTAGAAAGTCAGCTTCACCAAACATGCATAAACCTATTGGAACATTGTCCTTGAAGGTTGTTTATTATCAATAAAACTAGTTAAAATGCACACAAACAATCTAGAACACTTGACGCACCAGCAGGATTTTAGTTTGTGCAATGCCATGTTTGAGGGCATGGCTTTATGAATATTAAAATATGTTCTTTAAAGCTCTGCAGAGATCTGATGTTCTTTTGGTTTATTAGTCTCTCATTTTTCTGGAAATGTATGCAGGAGTTTTCTGGAGCTTGTGTTTTGCTTACATGATTGAGAAGAGGTGGGTCTATAGCAGCTTTCCACATTTCAGCTGACAAGTCAAACCCACCAAGAAATAAACAATTTTTTTGAAGTTGAGGAACAGTAACAAAAACATTTTTAGTTATTATTTATGATGATAATCAGTCACTCTGAGTTCTTCATGCAGGCTGAACATGAAAATAGTTTCCTACACCTATCTCCTGCTTTAGCTTCTGATAGAAAATAGACGGTGATACTCTAGGATTTGAAAAGCCTGACAGATCTACGTCAAGCTGTCACATTCATGGACTCACCCATCTTGACTCACGACGGGAAAGGCTGTTGTTGGTTTAGCATCCAGGAAACCGCAGAGAATGCCTCAATTAGTAGAAGCTAACTGTTATCATTAGCAACTGCACCACACAGCAGAACTTCTCCAGGATTGTGTTATTTGTGGAGATAAAACATCAACGTTGCAGAGCAAACAAAGTCAGTGTCTGTTTCTGTTAGCCAATCCTAGGTGAGAGGTTCAAATATCAGGAAATAAGACTCCAAATCCAGTTGTCCGAAGCTACTTTCTCCGCCATTTGAATTGTACTTCCTGATTCAGGTGCATATAAGTTTTCACCCTCCCTCCCGAGTACGACTTACAAGGCAGTCATTTCCACTAGAGACCACTGAAAATGTATTAATTAAACAAGTGTTTAAAACCTGTAAAATTATGGTATTGGTGAGATCAGTCTGCTTTTCTCTAAGTTTATTTCCACAATAAATAATAAACAATGTTGCAGTAAAAATGTTAAAAGCATGGCTTGTATTTTTGGAAGTTTGTCTAACTTGCTGTAGTGCCAAAAACAAAATAATTTGAAATAATATCTAAACAGCCTAATGTCTCAACTAGGGCTGCTCGATTATGGCAAAAATAATAATCACGATTATGGTGACTGAAATTGAGATCACGATTATTTAGGACGATTTTTCAATTTATGTTGATTTTATTTGTTTTTATTCAGTCATAAAACTGCTCAGGGCACAATCAGGACGAAAATAAGAAACAAGATGATCACTAAAATAACTCCTGATTCCCAGTATAAAAAGACC